CTAGGCGTTTAACGATGCATAAACAACAGGGCTCCATTAAGGAACATATAATCTCTTCCCATAACCAAACCATCGCCAGAGAAATCCTAGTAAACAACACAGAAATCATCGATAGATACAGCGATAGCAGGCGGCTTGACGTTTGCGAGGCACTACACATCAAGAAGTCAACACCAGCAATCAACAGCCAATTATTGCACAACTATATTCTACCCACCTCAAGACTCCGCTCCAATATAGAAGCATCAAGAAATATGGACCAATAGGCTTTCTACAAACACTTCTATTCAATACCCATTGTTTCTGTTCTGTCTTGTGTTGATACTTTTAATACCCTATTAATATCCTCTAGTGTTCTGTCTTGTGTTAATGCCACATCATCCTTCCCACCTCACTCAAATGTAATGCCACATCACCCTTCCCACCTCACTCAAATGTAGATATAAAATCAGGGAAACGCAAGTTCTAATCAGTTGTGTATTTGTGAAGTCTTTGAAAATGTAATAAGTTTTACGAAACGCGCCCGTGTCGCGTCAGACTAGAAATAAAAATGAATTTTGGAGAAGTGATTTTTGATTTACCTCCAACAGTGAAGCATATTGTACGAAAGATTGAGAAAATTCGTGTTAAAATTATTAATCTTACTTTTTCGGTCATATTTAATAATATATATATATATATATATATATATATATATATATATATATATATATATATGTGTGTGTGTGTCTCAAATTTAAACATTGTTTTCTTTTTCAATATAAATTTAAACATTTCTTGATCTATTCTTGTTTATATAAATTGATATATCTCATCATTAGAAATTGATGACTGCGACACTTATCCATTTCAATCTCAACAACAAACGTGTTGTAAGAAAAACAGCATACAATTCTTATTTCGATTGAAAACAAAATGGGTGTAGATGAAATAATCTAAACTTGATGGATAATTATACATAACGAAGGTGAGTGCAGTGTTGTAAGCGACGCGATTACGGAGAAAGAGTGACGCTAGCAACCCTGCTGTGAGTTCGGGTCCGAGTGATCTTAAGAATCGTTCTCACTTCGAAAGTGAGAGACCTATATAAGCCAAAGCTGAGGTCTCTCGCAGCTTCATTTTTGGACAAACCCTTCACACACACACACACATACTGCAGACATCCCTCTTCGTAATCAAAGAGCAGCAGCAGCAGCAGAAGCAGGTGCGAGTTGAGTACTTCGAGGTATTGTGGCCGTTGCATCTCGCCGTCGTACCCAGAGGCACGAAGGTCAGTCTCTACACCAACTAAGTGCTGGATGTTCTTCGCAAAAAGGCTATTCTGATTTCGGTATTAAGGAAGCCCTATTCTCGTCTGATTTTAGTGTTGAATTAAAACGAAGGAAAACCTCGACTTTGCGTAAAACTAGCGGAATCAAAATTCAATTAGCAGTTTCTGCAATGACTGCAATCAAGTGATATTGTTATCGAAACTGAAAATTCGCTTAGGAAAAGTAATTGAGAATCAACCGTCAGTGAGTTCCCGGTCAATCACAATGCGTTGCCACTAAAAGTGAAGTAATAGAACACCAATGACAGGATTACTGTTATTGGAGCATTTTTTGCTGTTTCTATGTATAAAGCAGAATGTTAGTGCATCAAGCGATGACAAACGATGTTGAGCCTGATTCGTACACAGCTCTTTTTCTGCAAAATTGAAATGTGGTTTACTTGTAAACTGATAATTCCAGGTCAAATTGGAAGAATTTGACACAAAATATCTCGATCTTAACTCGGAGGTTCAAGAGCCTGTTGTCATCAATATTATGCCAGTGTTTACGCAACAGTTGACATGTCCACGAATGCACCTTTCGGCGTCTTGAAGTTTTGGTTCAATCTTGTTTAGGCCTGGAAGATTCCTTGTGATCCCGTGAAGAATATGCTGACCGGACTTCAAACAATGCTTAAAGTAAAATACAATTGTTTGAACTGTACCTATTATTACAGCACTATGGAAATAATCGACTGTTAATGTTTTAATTCATCTCATTATTCAATGGACATTATTCATTATCATTATTTACCTACTATTCAACTATACGTTGAATAGTAGGTAACGCTTAAGAGAATGAAAGAATTGGATTGGTTTTGGGCTTTAGACCCATCAACCTCTGAAGGGTTATTAAAAGTCAATCGGAAAAACTTACCAACCCAGCGAGAATGCTTTAGTTCTGAACCTATTCCAGGACTATAACAAACTTTCAGAGCATATACACAAAGAATAGTGATACTCCTCTCGTAAATATTCCAGTCCATTCTCCTAAAATGATAGTTCTTATAACAATTATTTGGTCGAGCGTACAATAATTGACTGTCGCAGCTACCAGTGTTCACATTTTGCACTATTGCTTTTATAAAGGCCTAAAAAAAGGGCTAGAAACCAAACTTACACATTCCTAGACCTAGTATAGCTAGTATAGGTACTATGTTAGGCCAAAAGATAATGCATGCTAAGCCTGAAATTACTTGGACAGGTTAGTTAAGGTTCTTTAGTTACATTTCCAGTTTTTAGTATGTCATGTGGGCTAAGTGAATAAAACAAAAACCGGAAACTTTTATGGATACAGCACTTCATTTTAGTACGTTTGACCAAATAGTTGACACGCGTACTATTTTAGAACCGGTAAAACTCTTCAGATTGAGAGCAAATTAAATTGAGTGTTTTACAGGTGATGTCTCAGTACTTGCTGAGTCTTCCATCTGTGGGTTAAATTCAAGTTTCTAAAATTTGTTGTTTGTCTTATTGTTGAAGTGCGTTATGAAAAAATGGAAACTAATCTGTCGCTTGCTTTGTATATGAGATAATCCACCTATCCATCCCACGCTAGCTCTTAACGTCACATCATCCAACAAATGAACAATTTAACTCTCTTAATCACTCATTTGGGGAGAAATATGGCAAATTTAGCCGACAGGTGGCATTTGTTTGCCTATATATTCATCTGTCTTTGACACCTCAGAAGATACCTCATTACTACTTTTGTTCATTGTTTTGGTGTGGTGGTTGGCTTGAGGCCAATTAACCTCAGACTGGATATTAAGGTCACAACAGCTTACTGACCAACCAGCGAATATACCATGGTTCAGATCATATATTACAGAACTAGAGTAAATTTTCTTAGCCACCAAAAAAAAACCCCAGAAAACACGTTAATAGTAGCATCTATTCTGCTATTTAATATCATGTTAATATCTTTTAGACCAGACTCACGGGTTCAGTTAATAGACTCGTTGATTGCTGTAATCAAAGTCTATAAAGAAGGACGCTGTATCAAGGTCCTCCTATGGTCGAACTACTGACCTTCCCCAGAATGCAACCCACAGCCTAACTCCCAGGTACCAATTTACTGCTTGGTGAACACAGCCATTGTAGGTGACTGAAAACTTCTCCATCCATTTCTGTCCCACATTGGGATCGAACCTGGAGTCTCAGAGTGTGAGTCAAAAACGTAACCATTGTACATATAGTGCAGCTTCTCAATACAAATATGACGATAGGAAAGAGAGATAAAAGGAAGTATTAACCATCACTGCAAAGGAAAATAATGCACTTAATATGTTTACAAGAAAAATAATGCAGTAAATATGTTGTACAAGAAAAATAATGCAGTAAATATATTTTGCAAGATTCGCAAGGTAAGTAACGATTCTCAATAGAGGAAGTCAGGAAAAGTCAGAGCAAAAGTGCAGAGAAGGGTAGTAGCAAAGGATAGCGAGGATACTTCACATATTCAATGTCACATAGAACAATGAAGATGCTGTTCATTTTCATCTAAACTGAAGTGAGATTACGGCTCATATTCACTCATATTTGAACAATGAGGATGCTGCTCATATTAAATCCCTGCCAAACAGGACAATGAGGCTACACAGCTCATATTCACTACCTAACAGGACAGTGAGGCTACAGCTCATTTTCGCTCCCACACAACACATTGAGGATCATAAAACATGTGGTCTAGGCTACAGTTAAACAATCACATGTATATGATTGTGCTACTACGTGCAAAATCAGCCATTATAAATTCTACATTCAATATTATAATTTCTGCTTCAGACCTTAATGTGGACGTTTTTAGTTTTCTTGTTCTGAGTAAGTTGAGAGGATTGCCGGGTTAACAGAAAGTTTTCTGGTCCAGTTAAAAGGCCCGTAATTGGGTCCTGATTTACTCGCCTGTGCCGACCTATCGTGGGGACTTTCACTCAGATTAATGATAGATTTAGTAAATTGAATCAATTTATCGATCCAATAAGTGGCGCCTAACAACGTAATCTTGACCAACAAGACAAGTGGAGCTTTTAAGATCGACTTAACTAAGATCGACGGTATTTTCTCTCTTAAAAATATTCGTGATGTTGCAGACAATGAGTCACAATAACGTGGCTGAAGAAATTACAACCAAACCACAATTCAGAAGATAGAGAAGCGACGACGTTTCAGTCCGTCCTGGACCATTATCAAATCGTGTGATAATGGTCCAGGAGAGACCGAGACGACGTCGCTTCTCCATCTTCTGAGTTGTGGTTTGATCATCATTCTTGATTTTATCGTAGGAAATTAATTCAGCTCATTGACACCAGAGGCGGCCTCTACGGAATATTTGATTTGATTTAGTGTTAGGTTTTAGTCTTATGAACCGCTCCAGGTTTAATGGGAACAAGTACCTTTAGTGCTTGCTGATCGACCAGCAAGTATTCTTTAGACCTAAGCTAAACTATACCTTCAGTGCATATTCACCGAAAACCTGGGTAAAACAGTAAATATGACGAACATTGGACATATGTACAAATTATGAACATTAGCACGTAAATCAATCAACAATTTGACCTATTTGCAAAGTTACGAGATTGAGATAACAATGACCGACAAAAACCTAACCCTGACCCAAGATAACCTAGTCTCTATTTGTAGAATATTAATCTAACACCTATATTGAATGTCCACATACTCTTCCTCGCAGGTTGGCAGCAGCTGGCACACGAGGCTCTTCCACGATGAGGTTGTGGGTAATGGCTTGCTACCTGGGGGTGGCACTGGTGGGTACCAACGTGGACTCCCAGTTAATATTGGATGGCACCGGACTCGGCCTATCCCTGGCTGGCCTCGGAACCACGGGGACTCTGGCTCTAGGCACCAACCCTCTAGTCGGACTTGGACTCGCGGGAGCTGTTTCTGGCGCAGCTGCTCTTGGCATTCTTGGTAAGTTAGCGTTAAAAATGCTTCGCATATGTGATCTAGTTTTACCAGGCCGAAAAGTAACAGATCTGCCGCATTAACAACAGAGATAATTGACCTGTAAAGCGTACACTGCAAAAGGTAACGATTACCCCTGAGCGTAATGGTGTGTAGGAAAAAGACAGTTACTCCTCTATTGACATTATATGTTAAAGTTGGGCTGGTTGTGGATATCAGAATATGAGTAGTTGGAAACATTGCTGGATGGAGTTACTGCTCATACACAAAATCTCTTGCCCTTTCTCTCTCTTTATATTGACTAAGATATAGCTTTGCAATTTAAGCTACAGTCTGGTACCTTACTTCAGCTCATCTGAAGCCTGACCCTAGATATTTATCAAGTTACTATAATTTATATATTGTTTTAATTATGTATAAACCTTATTTAATATTGTTAAGGCCACATCAGGTACAGGATGAAGCTGGAGCCAGTTGGGTACTAGAGCCTTCATATAGTCGGTTGACATAATTTCACATGTATCTATTTGTTAAGATAACATGTTTCAGCTTTCTATATAAAGCCTATTATATGACATATTGGCGTCGGAAAAGAACGACTGTCTATTCTTCTCCAGATGTGCTTCTTGACGTGCACTGTATTTACTGACGAAATTACGTATACAGTATATATATATATATATTCCTTGGCAGGAGCAATTAAAATAGGTCTACTAGCGAAGTGTTACGGAGGCGCGGGTGTCGCCTGCACAAGCCGGAGCTGTCGTCGTCGAGGCCTTGGTCGTAATCGCTGTGGTGGCAAACTTCGCATCGGTTGTATTAGAGGCATCTTGGGGGGTGGAGGCTGTGCCCGAGGCTGTGGCAGGAGAGGAGGCTGTAGAGCAGTAGTCCAAACTGACGGAAACCCTGGTCAGTAGCACGGAAATATTTATATCGCATAATTTATACCGCTGAAAATTGGCCCATTCTCCCTTGTTAAGATATACGTTTATTTTTTTTATAATAATTCATCTCTATACTATTTTAATAAGCAGTAATATTTTCAGTTCACTTATTGCCTAAACTTGTGAAGATCATTCCTCGGTCTCTCCTCTGGAAAATATACATATTAAAAAATGCTTAATAAATTTGTTGGAAACAGGTAATGTTTGTTTTTTCGACTATATGAAAATGGCACTGTGATCCTGATGTATAAAATTCCTTTTATCATGAGAGGTGCCATTTATCTTCATCGTTAGATCATGTGAGTCCTCCAACATATTTTTTATTTCAGGTGGAAATATAACTGTTTACCCCATGGCCAGCGGCGGATATGGTGGCAACAATGGCGGTGGAAGCCATCATGGAGGAAGTTATGGCAGTGGAAGCCATCATGGAGGAAGCTATGGCAGTGGAAGCCATCATGGAGGAAGCTATGGCAGTGGAAGCCATCATGGAGGAAGTTATGGCATTGGAAGCCATCATGGAGGAAGTTATGGCAGTGGAAACCATCATGGAGGAAGCTATGGCAGTGGAGGCAGCCATGAAGTAAGCTATGGCGGTGGAAGCCATCATGGAAGCTATGGCGGTGGAGGCAGTCATGGAGGAAGCTATGGCGGTGGAAGCCATCATGGAAGCTATGGCGGTGGAGGCAGTCATGGAGGAAGCTATGGCGGTGGAAGCCATCATGGAAGCTATGGCGGTGGAAGCAATCATGGAGGAAGCTATAGCAGTGGAAGCCATCATGGAGGAAGCTATAGCAGTGGAAGCCATTATGAAGGAAGCTATGGCAGTGGAAGCAGTCATGGAGGAGGTTATATCGGAGGGTATGGGAGTGGAGGAGGAGGTTATATGAAAGGGTATGGAGGTGGAGGGGGAGGACATGATAATGTTGCTAATAACCATGGCGGTGGAGGTCAACTCGAAGTTAGCAGCTATAGTTCTATTCAAAGCTCTGGTGGAAGTTATAGGGGAAGTGGATATACAGCAGGAATTGGAGTGAGTGGAATCGGGGAAGCTAGCAGCTACAGCAGCATCAATAATGAATACGAACAGGTAATCGCAGGAGGAGCTGGATACAAAAGTGGAATAGGGGGAGGAGGAGGAGGAAGATTTAAAGGAGGAATTAAGGGGAGTGTAGGTGCATATAAAAGCGGAATTGGAGGGGGTGGAGTTAGCAGTTATAATGACATCGATAGCGAGGAAGATGATGAAAATAAAGGGGCAATTGGAGGGGCTGGAGATATGTATAAAAGCGGAGTTGGAGGGGGTGCAGTTGGATATAAAGGTGGAATTGGAGGATATGGAGTCAGCGGAGTTGGCAGTTATGACATCAAAAGCGAAGATGACGAAAGTAAAGAAGCCATTGGAGGGGCTGCGGGTGGGTACAAAATCGGAATTGGAGGGAGTGCAGTTAGTGAAATTAGCAGCTATGATGACATCAGTAGCGAGGAAGAAGACGAAAGTGGATCTGCAGGAGTGTACGTCGCCAGCTATGGCAACATTGGAAGTGATAAAGGAAGCAGATACAGAGGTGGTGGAGGAAGCTACGGCTACCGGAGGAGGAGAAGAAGCATCCTTAGCCGAAATTCGCTGGACATCCCCACCAACACTGAGGTAAGATCCACACGCTTGTTCCAGTCACAAATTCTCAGAGAGAACATACCAACAGTTGTATTCTGATTTTCGGTGCTTATGCACTGAGTTTATTTTAATCTTTAGTTATGCATATCTGGTTGGACAGTGAGCTATTAATAGTGGTGACTGTGGGACGTTCTGAGGTTGATGGGCCTTAAACCCGACACCAATCAAAGTGAAGAATTGATTTTTCCAGAACGTAATGCTTGTATTTTTTTTAGGCATGAATATAATTATGCGAATTACAGTCGAAATAATAACCAAAATTATGTTATTTTTTTAATGCATACATGTCGCAAATATTAATATTAGATGTTATTTTTGACAAATGTTACATAACCCCAGGTGGCAATGTGACGTCACATGTAAGAGGCTAGGATATGTTAACGCAATTTTCATCAAGATTTTAGCATATAAAGCTAAGACAATTTTCATCAAGAATTTAGCATATAAAGCTAAGACATCTTCCTCTGTTTCTGGCAAATGGTTCATAACAAAAGTCATCACTTCATGACTGTTTACAAGTATCCTACAGCATAAACAGGAACTTTGCTCCTGTTCTTATTGGCAGTGTATTATATGCCTGTGAGTCTCGTGTCACCCCTCCCTAATAGCAGGTCTTTATACTTATATAATGTTGGTCGACAGAAAGCGCTCCCGGACGATTCATACTTCATACAGGCAAGGTCAGCCGACCATTCTAAATGTGGTCAGCGACTAGTGTGTGAACTGGCCGCTAGAGCTGGCCTTGGACTCCAGCCTGATGAACACACGATTCTAGAAATCCTCAAGTGAGCTCTCACACACTGGTTTTTTTTGTTTTTTGCTTAAAAAGAACTTTTAAACTGTTATTCATTTTTTTGCACAAGCTTTAGTAATTTGCCTTTATGTTTTTGCTATAGCTGTGTTCTTTCAAGTTCAAGTATGTTTATTGAGACAAGAAATAAATACATCTCAAAGGATAGAGTAACTTAGGCTATTTCTACCCCCCCCCCCTGTGTTTTTCTCTTTCCAATTAATATTCGTTACTTTAACAGTGTTTCAGGTCAGTGTGCATTTAGTAAAATGAGAACAAGCACTAAAGTGTTCATAGTAAAACCTAATAGTGCATAACACAACACAACTGGTCATCCGAACTAGGTAACTCATGTTTAGCAAATGCAGGGCTCTAAGTAACTAACACAGTGCCACACTAATTCCATTTAGTAATTTGTAAATAGTTATCCTATTCACAAAATTATTGTTAGAACTAATTTTGAGTTTCAAAACAATTCCGAACTTTTTATGTTTGGTTAGTTTACGAAATATTTGTAGTTAGGTTTTAGATGTAGAGATAATAGTGTAGAGAGATCTAGCGAAGTAGACACAAGGGAGTTCTGTAGACAGATCTGACAATGTCAATTTATCATACAATTTACAGAGAAAAAGCAGAGGATGGACAGAAGAGCGGAGCGCGGGCTCTCTACCAGACGGCCATGGAACAAGGGTACAGCGGGACTTCGTGCAAGGAAACCTATGCCTCCTGTCCCTTCACCAGCCAGCAGATGATGGCAGTGGTCCGCACAGTTGGATAAACATTCAGTCTAAAACACTTCTGAAGTAGGAATACTAAATAGCCCATTAAATTTTCGTGATTAACAAGAACATGTTTAAAACTTAATGTTGTTTGTTGTTTAATATTCAGCTACTCGGAACAAAAGTTCCAAGTAGCACGGGCTATGGTGAACGCAAAGTTTTTTTTTTTAACTTAAGCATGCTAGGTATAGTATATAGTTCCTACTGGTGACCACGTGATAAGTTGAGTCTGCGTGCAAGTCAAGTGTTGTATCTTATGTTTACAATCATATTATTAACAATAGGTCTAAAATTAAACCATGACATTAAACATTAATTTCAATAAATGTCTTACATTCTTTCCAATGGGCAGCAATTCCAGCAAAGGTCTTGCAATGTCATTCTTGCATTTTGTTTGTATAAAATGTCCACTTAATATTTTCTCTACCCTGGTTATGTGTTTTGATTGCATTATGGTTTAGTTTACGGGTATTTTAAGAGATTCTTGAAAACTTTTATTTTTTATTGTAATAAAGACTGATATAGTTTAGGTGTTGGAAGTGTATGGAAAGTGTATGAAGATCAAATGTTAAGTCAAGTAATTTATAGTTTATGACGTTCTATAAAACTTTCTTTGAACGAATTTATTTAATTTTTTCCACATAGGGCACAAAAGGTCTTTATCAGACCTCAATTATTACATTTCAATTACATCTATCCTGCACACCTTAAAATTATAATGTCAGCTAGTTACAGAGATTGCTTCATTTCAATAGCTTTATATTTACAGTCCTCAGGAGACGCTATAGTAAAGTTTGAATGTAAATATTTTGATACAAAATAAAAAAGGTGTTGAATATATGATAATGTAAATAGATGTCCGAATTATTAGTTAAACCAGAACATTAATTAATGCTTTTAGTCTTTATTGTAATACACTGTACTTTAAATTCTGTGGACTTTCCCTAGTGTTTCTCTTTTCTTACTCTTTTAACTTAATAATTACTTGAGGCGAATTGCTGTTCTATTATCAACCCATACTCATCCTCTGTTGTGTAATTAGGATTTTGTTTACATTTGGTACATGTATCCTGTTATTCACCTTCGCTGATCTGTATGTCGTATTTGTTGCGTATACGCCCAGTGTGGCGTATATTCGTTCGTGTTCCATTGTATAAATGACAGAGTAATGCCAATGATCTTGCTGATAAGTGACTTATGTTCCTATAGACAATATTTCTGTGTGTGGGCTTACATTTCATTCCATCGTGGGCATAACAAAGCCTCGCGTATATATATGTATATATATATATATATATATATATATATATATATATATATATATATATATATATATATATATATATATATATATAATGTTTTTATTGAATAAAATGTTAATCAAATAGTTTTTTATCGTAGATTCCCTCTAATAATTTTCATTACGCAGGGACAGACAAAATTAGTAAAACAGACAGACATACATATTGCTCCTAAATCCACTGGAATACTAGCAGATACTTCCATGACTCGTCAATCACGCCAGTAAAGCTTTTAAGCTCCCGGAAGCAATGCTATTTTCATGTCTAAAAATGACAACAAGAGGTTTTTCCCTCTGAACCTATAGCAAACTAAATCATATTCAGGCATCATAGACAACCTCGAGAAACACCTGTATCTTCCTGAGCCTAATTATATATATATATATATATATATATATATATATATATATATATATATATATATATATATAATATAACATATAATCTCTTCCCACAACCAAACCATCGCCAGAGAAATCCTAGTAAACAACACAGAAATCATCGATAGGTACAGCGATAGCAGGCGGCTTGACGTTTGCGAGGCACTACACATCAAGAAGTCAACACCAGCAATCAACAGCCAATTATTGCACAACTATATTCTACCCACCTCAAGACTCCGCTCCAATATAGAAGCATCAAGAAAATGGACCAATAGGCTTTCTACAAACACTTCTATTCAATACCCATTGTTTCGTGTTCTGTCTTGTGTTGATGAAATTAATACCCTATTAATGCCACCTCTTGTTCTGTCTTGTGTTGATGAAATTAATACCCTATTAATACCACCTCTTGTTCTGTCTTGTGTTAATGCCACATCACCCCTTCCACCTCACTCAAATGTAGATATAAAATCGGAGATGCGTAAGTTCTATTCAGTTGTGCATTTGTGAACTAAAGTCTTTGAAAATGTAATAAGTTTTACGAAACGCGCTCGTGTCGCGTCAGACTAGAAATAAAAATGAATTTTGGAGAATTGATTTTTGATTTACCTCCAACAGTGAAAAGAAATGTACGAAAGATTGAGAAAATTCGTGTTAGAATTATTAATCTTACTTTTTCGGTCATATTTAATAATATATGTATAATATATATATATATATATATATATATATATATATATATATATATATATATATATATATATATATATATATATATATATATATATATATATATATATATATATATATATCTGTGTACCCAATCTTACTTAAAACGAGATATACAGGCAAAATAGGAAAGAGAGAGACCTGTTTGTTATACCAGTTATTAAAAAATTGCTTATTTGTGTGAAGTTTCATATTTTCAGCAATTAAAGGGTCTGTTTTGCCAGGAGTGTTGTGTAGAGTGGGGGGTCGCCTCAGCTCATCACACTGGGGACGAGGGCTACAGGATTCATGAAAAAGTTACACCAATATTTTTATTCAACACTTCGCGAGCTTCGAAACGTCACAATCCTAGGCTATTTTTCTTGTAAGCAATCTCGTTTGTGTTCAGAGTTCATAAACTGTTCAGGAAATGTAAACAAAGACTCAAAGATTGAAGAAAAATGTACAGTTTTCTTACGAGGATGAGTATATGTTTGATGCCTATATCTTCCATGGTATATATTTCCAAAGCCGCGTACTCTCTGCGTATAGATTTGGTTTCCTTCTTGAACACCGGGTGTACTGACACTAGTACATTATAGTTAGTCTTTATTTAGAGGGGTCATATTTATATATACACACCATATAACACTTATTTACAAAGTTGCAGACATTGATTTTATTATCGAGTTAGCACACGGTGGTCGAGACACCATGGCTAGCACACGGTGGAGACACCATGGCTAGCACACGGTGGAGACACCATGGCTAGCACACGGTGGTCGAGACACCATGGCTAGCACACGGTGGTCGAGACACCATGGCTAGCACACGGTGGAGACACCAGGGCTAGCACACGGTGGAGACACCTGGTCTAGCACACGGTGGAGACACCTGGTCTAGCACACGGTGGAGACACCAGGGCTAGCACACGGTGGTCGAGACACCAGGGCTAGCACACGGTGGAGACACCAGGGCTAGCACACGGTGGAGACACCAGGGCTAGCACACGGTGGAGACACCAGGGCTAGCACACGGTGGAGACACCTGGTTTAGCACACGGTGGAGACACCAGGGCTAGCACACGGTGGAGACACCATGGCTAGCACACGGTGGAGACACCATGGCTAGCACACGGTGGAGACACCAGGGCTAGCACACTGTGGAGACACCATGGCTAGCACACGGTGGAGACACCAGGGCTAGCACACTGTGGAGACACCTGGTCTAGCACACGGGCCCAGTAAAGCCAGCAAAAGTGCAGTAAGCAGAGACGGAGACAGTAGTGGAGGTGTTAGTAGAGGTAGTGGTGACGGTGACGGTGGTGGTGACGGACCTGTAGAGGGTGAAGAAGAACTTGTCGCTGGCTATGGTTTCCTCGTCAGGCGCCCCTTCAGGACCGGACGAGGCCAAGTCGGTGGCTGCGTGCAAAGAACCGGGGAAATCATCTACGTTCAGCGGGATTCTTCGCGATCGGCGAAGTTTGCGGCCCGCACAGGGCGAGGCTGCAGTTGAGCCCGCTGTGGAAGTGGCGAAGATGCAGTGATAGGGAATTACAGTTATGTTGTGTTGTGTGGTTATTGGTGGTTAAGAGCTCTCTCTCTCTCTCTCTCTCTCTCTCTCTCTCTCTCTCTCTCTCTCTCTCTCTCTCTCTCTCTCTCTCTCTCTCTCTCTCTCTCTCTCTCTCTCTCTCTCTCTCGCACACACACACACACACACCAGGGGGGTCTGGTAGCTGAGCGGACAGTTCGCAGGACAAGTAATTCTGTGGCCCGGGTTCGATTCCCGGACCAGGCAGAAACAAATGGACAAAGTTTCTTTCATCCTGAATGCCCTTGTTACCTAGCAGTAAATAGGTACCTGGGAGTTAGTCAGCTGTCACGGGCTGCTTCCTGGGGTGTGTGTGTGTGGGGGGGAAAAAAGTAGTTAGTAAACAGTTGATTGACAGTTGAGATGCGGGCCGAAAGAGCAAAGCTCAATCCCCGCAAAACACAACTAGGTGAATGCACACACACACACACACACACACACACACACACACACACACACACACACACACACACACACACACACACACACACACACACACACACAGATAAAGACAGTCTATTTAACACAAGGGGACACAGGTGGAAACTGAGTGCCCAAATGAGCCACAGAGATATCAGAAAGAACTTTTTTAGTGTCAGAGTGGTTGACAAATGGAATGCATTAGGAAGTGATGTGGTGGAGGCTGACTCCATACACAGTTTCAAGTGTAGATATGATAGAGCCCAGTAGGCTCAGGAACCTGTACACCTGTTGATTGACAGATGAAAGGCGGGACCAAAAAGTCAGAGCTCAACCCCGGCAAGCACAACTAGGTGAGTACAATTAGGTGAGTACACACACATTGATTCTTCTCATAATGTTTGCATCATCAGCAAACATTGAGAGGAATGAGGGTTTAGACTCATGCCTCCCAATGTTTGCTGATGATGCAAAAATTATGAGAAAAAATCAAAATAGATGAAGATAGACAGAGACTACAGGACGACCTGGGTAAACTGGAGGAATGGTCTAGAAAATTACTACTAAAGTTTAACGCAGGAATGTGCAAAGTAATGAAATTAGGCGAAGGGAGCAGAAGGCTGAACACAAGGTATCATCTGGGAGGTGAAATCCTGTAAGAGTCAAATAGAGAGAAGGATCTGGGGGTTGATATCACACCGAACTTGTCCCCAGAGGCCCACATCAAAAGGATATCATCAGAGGCATATGCTAGACTGGCCAACATAAGAACTGCCTTTAGAAACTTATGAAAGGAATCGTTCAGGACCCTGTATACCACTTATGTCAGACCAATCCTGGAATATGCAGCTCCAGCTTGGAGTCCATACCTAGTTAAACACAAGACAAAGTTAGAGAAGATTCACAGGTATGCCACCAGGCCCGTCCCGGAACTGAGAAGCATAAGCTACGAGGAAAGACTAACAAAGCTGAAACTCACGTCCCTGGAACACAGAAGAGTAAGGGGAGACATGATACCCACCTATAAAATTCTCAGTGGAATTGACAGGATGCACAAAAAGAAACTCTTTAGCTCGGGAAGAACACGAACAAGGGGACACAGATGGAAGCTGAATAACCAAATGAGCCACAGAGACGTTAGAAAGAATTTTTTCAGTGTCAGAGTAGTTAATACATGGAATGCACTAGGCAATGATGTGGTGGTGGCTGACTCCATACACAGTTTTAAATATAGATATAATTGAGCCCAATAGGCTCAGGAATCTATACACCAGTTGATTGACAGTTGAGAGGCGGGACCAAAGATCCAGAGCTCAACCCCCGCAAGCACAACTAGGTGAGTACACACACAGGACCTCGCGCTTGAATAGACAGCGCTTGGGTAGGGGGGGGGAAGATCGTAGTCCTAATGGCCCGGGTTCGATTCCCGGCGGAGGAAACAAATAGGCAGAGTTTCACCCTAATGCTCCTGATCATCTATCCAAAATTAGGTACATGGGGTTTAGACAGCTGCTACGGGTTGCTTCCTAGGGATGTGCGTGTGTGTGTGTGTGTGTGTGTGTGTGTGTGTGTGTGTGTGTGTGTGTGTGTGTGTGTGTGTGTGTGTGTGTGTGTGTGTGTGTGTTTTTGTGTGTGTGTGTGTGTGTGTGTGTGTGTGTGTGTGTGTGTGTGTCTGTGTGTGTGTGTGTGTGTGTGTGTGTACTCACCTAATTGTACTCACCTAATTGTGCTTGCGGGGGTTGAGCTCTGGCTCTTTGGTCCCGCCTCTCAACCGTCAATCAACTGGTGTACAGATTCCTGAGCCTATTGGGCTCTATCATATCTACATTTGAAACTGTGAATGGAGTCAGCCTCCACCACATCACTTCCTAATGCATTCCATTTGCTAACTACTCTGACACTGAAAAAGTTCTTTCTAACGTCTCTGTGGCTCATTTGGGTACTCAGCTTCCACCTGTGTCCCCTTGTTCGCGTCCCACCAGTGTTGAAAAGTTCATCCTTGTTTACCCGGTCGATTCCCCCTGAGGATTTTGTAGGTTGTGATCATGTCCCCCCTTACTCTTCTGTCTTCCAGTGTCGTGAGGTGCATTTCCCGTAGCCTTTCCTCATAACTCATGCCTCTTAGTTCTGGGACTAGTCTAGTAGCATACCTTTGGACTTTTTCCAGCTTCGTCTTGTGCTTGACCAGGTACGGGCTCCATGCTGGGGCCGCATACTCCAGGATTGGTCTTACATATGTGGTGTACAAGATTCTGAATGATTCCTTACACAGGTTCCTGAACGCCGTTCTGATGTTAGCCAGCCTCGCATATGCCGCAGACGTTATTCTCTTTATGTGGGCTTCAGGAGACAGGTTTGGTGTGATATCAACTCCTAGATCTTTCTCTCTGTCTGTTTCATTAAGTACTTCATCTCCTATTCTGTATCCTGTGCCTGGCCTCCTGTTTCCACTGCCTAGTTTCATTACTTTGCATTTACTCGGGTTGAACTTCAACAGCCATTTGTTGGACCATTCACTCAGTCTATCCAGGTCATCTTGTAGCCTCCTACTATCATCCTCTGTTTCAATCCTCCTCATAATTTTTGCATCGTCGGCAAACATTGAGAGGAACGAATCTATACCCTCTGGGAGATCATTTACATATACCAGAAACAGTATAGGTCCAAGGTTGCGGGGGTTGAGCTTTGGCTCTTTGGTCCCGCCTCTCAACTGTCAATCAACTGGTGTACAGATTCCTGAGCCTACTGGGCTCTATCATATCTACATTTGAAACTGTGTATGGAGTCAGCCTCCACCACATCACTTCCTAGTGCATTCCATGTATTAACTACTCTGACACTGAAAAAATTCTTTCTAACGTCTCTGTGGCTCATCTGGGTACTAAGTTTCCCCCTGTGTCCCCTTGTTCGTGTCCCACCCGTGCTGAAGTGTTTGTCTTTGTCCACCCTGTCAATTCCCCTGAGAATTTTGTAGGTGGTTATCATGTCTCCCCTTACTCTTCTGTTTTCCAGGGATGTGAGGTTCAGCTCCTTTAGCCTTTCCTCGTAGCTCAATCCTCTCAGTTCCGGGACGAGCCTGGTGGCATACCGCTGAATCTTCTCTAATTTTGTCTTGTGTTTAACTAGGTATGGACTCCAGGCTGGAGCTGCATACTCCAGGATTGGTCTTACATAAGTGGTATACAGGGTTCTGAAAGATTCCTTACACAAGTTTCTAAAGGCAGTTCTTATGTTGGCCAGTCTAGCATATGCCTCTGATGATATTCTTTTGATGTGGGCCTCTGGGGACAAGTTCGGTGTGATATCAACCCCCAAATCTTTCTCTCTATTTGACTCTTGCAGGATTTCCCCTCCCAGATGATACCTTGTGTTCAGCCTCCTGCTCCCTTCGCCTAATTTCATCACCTTACACTTTCCTGAGTTGAACTTTAGCAGCCTCTGAACTTTAGCAACTCTGTGTGTGTGTGTGTGTGTGTATGTGTGTATTTTAGAAATATATGTAGTAGACATAATAGAGGAAAAATAGATTGGTTAGAAAGGCGGGGGTCTATATACTAATAGCTCGATTCTGCAGACAAATTGCAAATATAAATAGTAAATACACACACACACACATAACTAGATAACTTACTGTAGAAACAGAGATAAGGAATAACAGAGGTGACTGCCGATATGGTCGTTTCTGTGGTGGTCGAGTAATTCTTGATGAAGAACTTTTCCTCGTCTGTAAAGTAAAGAAGCTCGATTATTCTTGCGCTTATTACACTTACTTACCTTTCTCCAGAAGTAAAGACAAGCTGACACACACACAAACGAATAATTTCAATGATGTCTAATACACAAGCAAATACAAGACAAAAATAGATAACACATAGAAAATGTGTCAATCTCTTTACAAATCAAAATATCATAAAACCAATATTTACAAATACAATTGGACGTATATTAAGTGTTTATCCAGCTTGTTTCAGTTTGGTTATTTACAAATGTGGAAATTCGCGTGCATGTGTATGGCATGTGTGTGTGTACTCACCTAGTTGTTTAGATGGGGGTTTGAGCTTCAGCTCTTTGGTCCTCTCTACAAAACTTTAATTAACTTGTGTACAGACTATCGCACCCTTCATGTTCTGGCATATATACATGTGAAACTATGTAGGCGTCATCTTACAATAGCCTGTGCTTGGCTACACTATAAATCTATCGTGTATTTTGTATGTCGCAATTATGTCTCTCCTGCTTCTTCTCTCCTCCTCCAGGTGTCGGTCATCTAATTCAGTGATTCACAATCCCTTTATTTCCTGTTATATACTCTTCAAGATGCTGCCGTCTGCTTTCTGCTCATACATTAAAGATGAATACCCGAAAACACACACTCTTTTCGCGTGTGTGTGTGTGTGTGTGTGTGTGTGTGTGTGTGTGTGTGTGTGTGTGTGTGTGTGTGTGTGTGTGTGTGTGTGTGTGTGTGTGTGTGTGTGTGTGTGTGTGTGTGTGTCTATAAGAGAGGGGGGGGGGTTATAGCTTACTCCGGCCGCCGTCGTCGTCCTGGGCAGCAGCGGGGCAGACGCCGGCCACCACCAGCACCGTCAGCGCCACCAGCACCTCCGTCGTCCTCGCCTGGAGGAGCGTGGACACGGGGCGTTAATATCGATGTGTTTCTACCAACTGGCAGCCTACCCCGGCCCACTCCGGCCTACCCCGGCCTACCCCGGCCTACCTCGGCCCACTCCGGCCTACCCCGGCCCACTCCGGCCTACCCCGGCCTACTCTTAACCTTCCTTCGCTCTTACCTTTCCATACTGCCTTACCTCATTATTATTATTATTATATCTTCCTACTACGGTCTAATTATACTTTCTCGACGCCAGGGGACACGAAGTCTGTACTTAGGCTTATCGAAGTTCTCCTTAACCTTCCCCAGTATACAATCCACAACAGTTGCCTAACTCCTGGGCACCTGTTTTACTGCTAGGTGATCAGGTACAGTAGGTGAAAGGAAAGCCTAACCGCCTGTGTTCTGCCCGGGAATTGAATCCTGTTTCTTCGGGTGTGAACTTATGAGGTAGGCCACTGGGCTTTGCAGCTTCCGATTTATGCCTACTTATCCTCCTAATCACTTAGACTGGACGGTAGAGCGACGATCTTGCTTCGTGCAGGTCAGCGTTCAATCCCCGACCGTTCAAGTGGTTGGGCGCCATTCCTTACCCCGCGTCCCATCCCAAATCCTTATCCTAATCCCTTCCAAGTGCTATATAGTCGTAACGGCTTGGCGCTTCCCCCCCCCCTGATAGTTCCCTTCCCTTCATGAGTATATCCTAATAAGGAAGTCTCATCTACTTACCAAGGTCTGTCTACTCCTTCCTATCTACTCTCTCTTCTACTTATCTACGTACCTGCTTTCTAAAATACCAATTAACCCATCTACCTCATTGCCTGTCAGACTACCCTGACAGGCAATGAGGAATACCCATTCTTCATACCTTCCTAGGATGGGTATACATACCTCGAATGGGTATACCTTCATACCCATCTCTCCACACACCTACCAGTTTGTCAAGCACTCCCAAATAAGCTCAACAGGCGAACTGGACAAAGGAAAAGAACCACAGAGCCCAGGTCCGTGTATTTACCAAAATCCCCCTGTGTGTCAAAGACCTACTGTACAAGATGAAAACTGATACTCTATGAACCAGACCATCGTACAACCTTTCACCAGTTAAATTATAAAAAACCTGAGCATTAACATTTGAAATGCAGAACCTGACAGTTCCTCTGTTTCCAACAGCTGTTCTGTAACGCTTACCGTGATCCTCATTGCAACACTATCTTGCAGCTCTCGCTGTACCCACTGTTGCACTGCAGCCTTCGTCTCGCTTATATACGTCGCTCCCGTTGCTGCTACTTCCTGTATTGTATTCCTTTTTGCTGTTGTGAGTCGTCCTTAAGGCATCATTCGGGTCGGGAGTCTGCAGTTCCCAGAGGGCGCCACGTTGCATCGTAGGAGGAAAGACTGGGCGAAAATTCAGGTAACCCTAATGTACGTGGAACCAGTCGCTCGCTAGCTGTGACGATGCGCTCCTCAGCTTCCAGGAGCGATCTCCAGCGTCCAGGAGTGATCTCCAAGAACGATCTCCAGAGCCCAGGAGTGATCTTCAGCGTCCAGAAGCGATCTCCAGCGTCCAGGAGTGATCTCCAGTGTCCAGGAGCGATCTCCAGCATCCAGGAATGATCTCCAAGAACGATCTCCAGGGCCCAGGAGCGATCATCAGCGTCCAGGAGCGATCATCAACGTCCAGGAGCGATCATCAGCGTCCAGGAGCGATCATCAGCGTCCAGGAGCGATCATCAGCGTCCAGGAGCAATCATCAGCATCCAGGAGCGATCATCAACGTCCAGGAGCGAACATCAGCGTCCAGGAGCGATCATCAACGTCCAGGAACGATCATCAGCATCCAGGAGCGATCATCAACGTCCAGGAGCGATCATCAGCGTCCAGGAGCGATCATCAGCATCCAGGAGCGATCATCAGCATCCAGGAGCGATCATCAGCATCCAGGAGCGATCATCAGCGTCCAGGAGCGATCATCAGCGTCCAGGAGCGATCTCCAGCGTCCAGGAGCGATCATCAGCATCCAGGAGCGATGATCAGCGTCCAGGAGCGATCATCAACGTCCAGGAGCGATCATCAACGTCCAGGAGCGATCATCAGCATCCAGGAGCGATCATCAGCATCCAGGAGCGATCATCAGCATCCAGGAGCGATCATCAACGTCCAGGAGCGATCATCAACGTCCAGGAGCGATCATCAGCGTCCAGGAGCAATCTCCAGCGTCCAGGAGCGATTTCCAGCGTCCAGGAGCGATTTCCAGCGTCCAGGAGCAATCATTGACGTCCAGGAGCGATCATCAGCGTCCAGGAGCGATCTCCAGCGTCCAGGAGCGATCATTAGCGTCCAGGAGCGATCATCAACATCCAGGAGCTGTACAACACAACACAACGTCCGATACGTTGTGTTGTGTTGTGTTGTGTCACTCCAACTTCCAGGAGTGATCACTAGCGCCCAACCACTTTGGCGCTAGTGATCACTCAATTAATTCAAAGATCACTTTTCACTGAATGAAAAGTAGTTTTCATTCATAACAGGGATGGGGGGGGGGGCGGCTCGATTAACAACCTGTCCTCAGGCCAGCCTTGTCCCCAATGACGCATTCGTTATTTTTAACGTACTGACGTGTATTTAAAATATGTCTGTTGTCATACATTAATTAGTATCATTATATAATAATATATATTAAAGTTCAATGTATAATTAGATGTAAGTTAAGTGTATAGGTTCTACTGGCGATTATCTGCATTTGAAGACTTAGGTGAAGCATTTGCAGAGTTGCGATTCGAACATTTGTCGTCAGCGAAGCCGTGCTGGACAAATTTTCGAACGTCATCAGTTGTGAATGTTTAAACCGTTTTTAATTCCTAAAGAGGGAGCCTGGCGATTGGATTAAGGAGCATTGGGCCTTTGTTTATAAGGACTGACTGCGATTAACCAGAATTTGTTTGTGGGGACTGGCTGAACCCTGAATATCGCTCGAGTCGGCTGATCCTCAGTCTTGGATCTCAATACTTGAGTCACAACGACGAGACTTTGAGAACCCGTTACTGGAGCAGTGTGTGTACAGGCGTGTTGCTGAGTGGTGTGTTGCTCTCAGTGTCCGTAGTCTCTTGCTTGCGTCGGCCGGAGTTGACCTGAGGTCAATATCACTGTGTAACCATCCGTGTATAGTTTCTAGGGTCAGTATCGCCACGGTTTCAATAACTATACTGTGCAGGAGAGCTCCCCGGAACAACTGTTGATGAATGACAGCTTTACTACGCCCTCCTCTTCACTGTGGTGTGTGCAGCGAGCTTGTGAACATACTTCCCATGTCAGTTATGTAAGGATCCGTGTGTTAGTCGTGTTTGATTGATTGGTTGATGTAGACTAAGCCACCCAAGAGGTGGCACATGAGTATCCCGTAAAGTCGTGTTAGTGCGGCTACCTAGCTTGTACCCGGAGGCGGCCTCACCTCATTGTAGAGGGTTACTGTAGTCATTAATAAAAGGAATGCAGATAAGTTCAGGCGACGTTGACCGCTCCTGTGTCAGGTAAGTCCACTACGGGCTCACCATAGCCCGTGCTACTTAGAACTTGTTCTGGGTAGCTGAATCTATAACAACAATTAAGGCGAGACGGGCTCACCATAGCCCGTGCTATATGGACATTTCGTTCTGGGTAGCTGAATCTATAACAACAATTAAGGCGAGACGGGCTCACCATAGCCCGTGCTACATGGACATTTCGTTCTGGGTAGCTAAATCTAAAACAACAATAACAGTTCAGGCGTCCTATTATATATTTAGATTTCTATTGGAGAGAAAATTTCCGGTGTTTAATTATACTTCAATAATCGTGTTGGAGCACTCAATATTTTTTGTCTGAAACTGTCCAATACAAACATCACTCTAGTAGCAAGTTGGAAAGATCAATTCTACATATTTTATGTAGCCTAATCTTAACGAAGATAAATTTTGATTCTTGGTTAAGTAAAACTGCTTTAATAGTAAAATCAGGTTAATTTGATTATAGCAAAGCAAACACTTACACCTCTTGTGATAAGATTCCAGTTATGTATAAAGACAATTTACACATAAAAGAATTGTGTAAATGAGCTGGCAGTTTTTTTTTTTCTACCACAAACGTGGCCACACATTTACAATGCTAACCAGCATATATACATTTTCTTCTGTCCTCCGTGGACAGGGTTAGAGATGTGTTAAACATATAGTTCAAGGGTTTATTGAACAATCAACCACAGAAGGTTATTCGGTGCTTTTAAAATGCTCAGCTAACCAGCTGCAGTGGCAGCGACTGCTGTCTGGGAGTCGTGTCCTCGGCTCGCTGGATTGAGGTCGCCGTTGAACTCGGGCATACCAGTGAATATAGTAAGAGTTTGGTGCAGAAGGACGGTATAGAACTATAGACCGTGCCTTCGTCTGTGCAACGATCCCCAGACATTGTAAACACATTGAGGTTACAGCGACCAATTACCATGACATGGGGACGTTACATAAGAACTCATGAATTTGCCAAACTGCAGAAAGCTTATTGGCCTGTAAAGGGTATTTATTTCCACCAAAACTCATTCACATGTCTTAAACCTATGCTTGAAAGTGATCTCACGTTTATCGTGCATGTTCGTAGTATGGAATACACATCTGGTTACAGTAAAATGGAAAAAATATGAATTTTAACACCATAATACTTGAGGGTTCGGTATCCGTTATCGGCGACAGGAAACAATAGGATTCAAGATGTCTTTCTTGGCCACTGACGTATCTTTCCCAAGGTGCGACCCACAACAGGTGACTATAACCCCTGGATGCCTATTTACTATCAGGTGAAGTGGCGAGGGGGCCCTATTGCTATGGTTCCTTGGCATAGGGGTCTCCATTGCCTTGGCGCTTTGGCTGGGGTGGTTTGCTGCCTTAGCGGAGGTGGTCTACTACTCTGCTGCCTTGAGTGAAATTAGAAAATGGGCTTCGTGCCTTTATGGCGACCAATATACAAGCAAAGTATAGCCTGAGGTTACCACTACAATAGACCATGTTCAGTGTACTATTAGGGACACATGAGTGACACCTGCTCCAAGCTTTCGGACACAGTCCACGCCGCTCTGTGATCCTGTAGAACGAGATCTCTCCAAAGACTTCAGCGGTAGTGTCCTCCAATTAGTTAGCAAGCGTGACGGTTAATATCCCAATCTGCCTCTACTCTACACAGACGCGGTCTTGTTAAATCAGCTCTGATACGCAACTTGCCCAACCTGAACCTTGGTTCTGGCTTTGTTGCTGTCAATTCTTTCATAGTACATTCTTAGATGCTCTAACTTAACAAACGTGATCTGACTTAGCTTTGCCCCCTCTAGGCTCTACCCGCCTCGAAAGTTACTAGATTTTTTTCTTTTCGCCATTAGGCTTCTTGCAATTCTTTATTTAAAAAATCAATTTATATCTTGTAACATTTTCAGATTTCTTTTTCCTTCCCTAGCTTACTTCTAACCTCTTCTTAACCTGATTCTCTTTATTCTTGCATTTTTCATTTATTCTTTCCTTCCCATACCCTTTTTCATCTTATATCTTCATCTTTCTTTCAATCATCCCACCTTTTATTTCACTCTTCCTTCGTATTATCTTGTTTCTTTCCATTACAAGACTTGAATAATGGTCCATGACGGATCGAAACGTTGTAGTTTCTTCATTTTCTAGTGTGTGGTTTGGATATCATATCGCCATCACTCTACGGACACAAAATAACTTGTTCAGCATCCTTTCATCCCTTTAACGCCAATTCGTGCTTTTTAACAGGAAAAAAGACTTGTTTTCGCACAAATATCGGTTCTGAGCTCTTTAGCACAGCACTAAATGTTGCAATTAGCCTGTTGGATTTGGTGAACTTTTGTTAAGCTCTCTGTTTTTCAGTAACACCCATAAGACCATGTGAATAAAATGTAGTTACTTTTTAATTTTAGGAGTAAAAAACATGCGAAACGTGGTAAAGGCAGACAAGGTGGCCGCAAGACCAGGAACGTCGTCAAGGGAATCGTTGCAGTGCCACACATCTAATGTACGCTCCCTGGCTCAGGAGACCTGTTTATATAGATCATGAATGTTGCCCTGGGTGTTGTCCTGCTTTCTACCGCTACATCTTCGCCCCTCGCGGCCCATATACAGCCCTGCCCGGCCCCGCCTACTGCATCTGTTCCACTAACGCAAACCGGGTACCAAGGGCCACTGGCGAGTGTGTGTCTATAACCACTCTTCCCTACGCCACAATGACGGGCCGGTGTGTTGCGGTTCCAGTTTTAGAAAACGTCTCGCTACACCACCAGCAACCTCCAAGCTACTTGTCCACTATGGGCAACACGAGTTCTTGTTTAGGTCCAGTTCCAGCGCTGGTGCCTGATCAGCCACCCAAAGATGCAAGTGATAAAGAATGCAAAACATTTGCTAGTGGGGCCTTTTCTGCTCCTCTGAGGCAGCTCCAACCCTCCGGGCTTGATAACAACAATGCACGCTGGGTAGCACCTCTTAAAAGATACGGTCCGGCCCAGCCGCGATCAAGGTACATCGCCACGTGCCAGCTGAAGGGTCGAGGACGACTGAGGAGGGTGACGAAGCGAGTCGCTGGAGTCAGGACACCCCAGCCGTATCAGAAACGCCGAAGGACCATGGAGTCTCTTCAGAACCATATACTGCTGTTACCTGGTCAGTGATTGGTTGCCTACTTTGACTATCCGTTTTTAGATGTTAAGTAATATAATTGTTTTGTGCAATTTTAAATCTCTCACAATGTTTGACCCCATTCTTCTTGTCCTTCTCAGGCGATGAAGAACTAACAGGCTGTGGGAGAAGCCAGAGAACGAGCGAGCATCTCCCTCCATACCTCGATACCGACTACGAGGAAGTACGTGGTCGGAACTATTTTTTTTTACATCAGTTCAGTAACCAGGGTGACTCGTTCATAGTTTATCCCAGCTTTATCTGTTCAATCCTTCCAAAGCAATACTCTGTTCTGAATCATTTTTAATCTATCACTAATCTGATTGTTTTGTAGTCAGTCCTGGCCCCATTGGCATAAATGAATGGTTTATACTGGCCTTTACGAAACCTGTCCTCAAGGTCGAGGTACTTTGGAGGTAATCACTCCAAAATTACTATGTAGTTAGTGCACTTTTAACCTCAACTTAACCAATCCGTGGTTAGGTTTCATTATGATTGCTTACATTAATACGATGTGTTATCCTCAAACTTGTGAAATATGAAATTCGAAAGCTATTTGAGTATACCTGAGAATTTTGTTTACAGAAAACAAAATTCAGGCAGTTTCAAAGAAAACTAGTTATACATTATTTTTAGACCAACGGTTTATATAAATAATAAATAAATAAATAAATGTTTATTTAAGTAAGGTACATACATACAAGAAATTTTTTACAAAGATTGGTGGACTTATAGATAGAGCTAGTACATACAATGCCTAAAGAAATTAGGGAGGGGAGGGGGTAAGGGATAGAAAGGAGGGAGGGAGGGTGTTGGGGATAGAAAGGGGGAGGGGAGGGTGTAGGGGATAGAAAGGGGGAGGGGAGGGTGTAGGGGATAGAAAGGGGGAGGGGGCAAGGGATAGGCTATCTTATGTGCTGTCAATCTGCTGTATGGTGTCTATTAACCTTGTTTAAATTACTAATCAAGCTGTCAATGTAATCAATCAGAGCTTTAATATAACAATGTGCTTTAATATACCTACTTATCTCTCTCATCTCATTTTTCTCTTGTAATGTATCTTTATCATTTATCAATTCTGATTGAAATTACCTACTTAAAATTATCTGCTAGATTAAGGACCTGCCCGAAACGCTGTGCGTACTAGTGGCTTTACAAGAATGTAAATACTGTACTATCCAATGTATTCTCACAAACCCAATGTACCTTCTTGTATATATATAAATAAATAAATAAAAATAAATAAATAAATAAAGACACTATTACGCAAAGCGTTTCGGGCATGTGAAAACTTAAATGACTAAAGCTTAATACTAATTGAGCATAAAGAGTAAAATGAAAACATGGAATGAAAACATAGCTGAAAAAGCAGCACAAATACAATTCTGTCGGCAAACAGCGCTCTTTAAAAAAAAACACACATTGGTTGACAATAGAGGGGTAAGGTAGGTTACAGGGAATTTATTAGGTATAGCTTCGTTTTTATCTTAAACGGGTTGAGAGAGGTACAGTCTTTAACATGGTTTGGAAGGTCATTCCACAATCTGGGTCCCTTGATTTGCAGAGCATTTCTAGTTTAAGTCGTACTCTAGGAATATCAAAACTGTGTTTATTTCTGGTGTGGTGCTCATGGGTTCTGTTACAACCTTCTATGAAGCTTTCGAGGTCAGGATTGGCATTACAGTTTAGCGTTTTATATATGTATAATACACATGAGAGAATGTGCAGTGACTTAATTTCTAACATATTCAGAGATTTGAGTAGGGGTACCGAGTGATGTCTGGGGCCAGAGTTGGATATTGTCCTAATAGCAGCTTTGTGTTGAGTAATTAGAGGACGCAAATGATTTTGGGTAGTAGAGCCCCAAGCACAAATACCATAGTTGAGATATGGATAGATAAGAGAGTAATAGAGTCACCAGGGCAGGACGGGGTACATAATATCTGATCTTAGAAAGAATGCCAACAGTTTTTGAAACTTTTTTTGATATATTTAGAATGTGTCCCTGGAAATTCAGCTTGTGGTCAATGAGAATGCCAAGGAATTTGCCATCTTATAATACAATGAAGTAGAGTATATTCTGTTCAGGGCCAGTTCACTTGGCAATTTACAAGAAGACTATTGTTGGAACCACAACATGCTTTCAGACCATCACAAATACCTAGATAAATGTCCGGTTGGTGAGAATGTTTGGCGTCTCATGGTAATTAATCACTGCCCTGAGGGCGGGCGCCTTGTGCATCACCTTTTAGGAAGATTGTCGTTTTGTATCGACACCCAGTTAACCCTTCCTAGGTCGCTGTGGCACCCTGGCCTCTCGACACTTTCCTCGCAGTCTTCCCAGTTTCCCCTAATCACTGTACCATGCAGGATGTAATGACCTACCTGCTGGAGGTGGAGCAACGTTACCTGATGACGCGTAGCTACTTGCCCAGTCATCCCTCGGTCAACAAACTCACTAGAGCTATCCTCGTCGATTGGCTCATCCAGGTTCAGGTAAGGCATGTTCCAAGTATAGGGAGTCTTGTATGTAAAGGGTCCCTTCCGGGTAGAGGGGGGGGGGGTGGGGAGTGTCCCTTCCGGGTAGAGGGGGGGGGGGTGGGGAGTGTCCCTTCCGGGTAGAGGGGGGGGGGTGTCCCTTCCGGCTTGAGTGGAGGGATCATCTGAACAACATTCAGGTCTATATTATGATGGACGGGTTAATATAAATAGGGTATACCCCTATATATGTGAATAGTTTTTCAAAATCTAGTTTTATTAACTCCGTAATAAAAAAAAACTTGTATACAAATAAAAGTTCATTATTTTACCTATTCAGGTGTGATATATTTATTGATATCTTAAATTTTCTCACCAGTACAAGGGATGGAGTGGATATACCCATAAAAATTATTTTGGCGCTTACACCTTACTACGAGCGACACAGCAGTAGGTCCCTTGATCAGTTAGCATAGATCCCCGGGCAATAAGATGCATCTTTCCCCTCCCAAGTTAGCGAAAATGGTCCAACAGCTAGAAGCACAAATTGACTTAAATACACGATCACTGTTGGCCTCCTGGCAGAGCTACCTAGAGTTGTCGCAGGAGACGCTGTACCAGAGCGTGGCGCTGGTGGACCGCATCCTGCAGGTGCGCTCCGTCCCCGTCCACAGGGTCCAGCTCCTCGCCATCACCGCCCTCCTTATAGTCACCAAGCTAGAGGAGAAGCACCCAGTAGAGGTAAGTGCGGGGGAGGGAGGGACAAAGTTGGAGATAAGAGGCTCCTCGCCAGCCGTGCAGCTGGTGGGGGAAGGTCATGCCGGGGACTCCCCAACCACCCATCATCGTGCACAGAACATTGTCAAATATTTCACTGTCAGTTAATCCGTGTAATTTACATTGTCATGATTTGAATTGGCAAGTAATTCCCAACGTCAACTAAAGGCCTTATTTATTTAAAAGTGGCAAATATTCCATTGTAATTGTTTCTGCATTACCAATTATTTGCTAGGAAGTTACACTTGTAAGAGTTGGATTGGTATATTTTTCTATCGTTATTTTTACCAATTACTTGCTATTCACACATGTACAGTTATAGCTGGCACATTTAATGTCTTTCATTGTACAATTAGTATTCACTAATACTAATTTACTTAATTTCTGAGTAATCACATTGACAGAGAAATAAGATACGAGGCTACACAAGAAGCATAAAAACAAGATTTGTTGAATCCATACAAAGGTACAACGCTGATAATTTAACTATAAACACTGTTGCTAATGTAGTTCATATTTCATTGTGGTAAACTCTCGCAGATAGTTAACTTTTATAATCATATCAATCTAAAATAATGAATAGATTTTGTTTTTAATGTCCATAGTTCGTCTGGGCTGAGGAAGTATCCCGGACACAAAACCCAGGGACTAGGGAAGGTTACGAAGTAATAACTTTACTAGATGAACTTGTGGAAGGATTTTTTATGTACAATATCAGTGACCCTGCAGGATAGGCTGCCTAGCACAACACGCACTACAACATTGTTACACAAGATTAGATTGTTGCCGCGGGAGTCGCTTAGGTTTATTGATCACACAATACTAATCCCGCGAGGTGTATTTATTGTGCACCCCATACCCACCCTGTGAGTGGTAGTGGAAAAGGTTAGAGGCACATAATGGGCTCAAGGACTGAAGGTCAAAATTCATTTAACTAAATTAGTCTTGATAAACCTGTTCCACAGAAGTTGTAGCAAAAGTCGAATTAGAGCTGTGGCATCGTCTGTCAGTACTAATAGCGTTACTTGCCCCCATACACGTGTTTTGTTGGACACATTTCAGCTGTGGTGTCTTGCGAGGTTCTCCCGGCACTGGGTACACGTGACGTGATGCTGTGTTGATAAAAGCCAGCGTACCATAGTTGCTTTCTGAAAGCTAGTGTTGGATCGCCTGCATGGAGCCCAGGTTTTGAGCAAATGACTCCTCTCTGCTGACAAATATTTACATTCCTTCGTTTATGTGATGGCATTCTATATACTTATCATTGACCTAAGTTCTCTATTAGTATATGGTTTCATGTTGAGGTAGGAATTGCTTAATGCTTACAAGAGGGGAGAGGAACATTGGAACAGCGTGCAAGGTGCACACTTAAAAGGAACATTATGGCTCCTTTCCATTTTGATTGGAGGAGAGGCATAAACGAGATGGGCTATAATAATGATAGAATACTCGCAAGATTCTACCTCCCCCACTCTCATCACCTCTCCTGCTTCCTCAAATTTCCCCTATTCTTTCCATCTCCCCCCGATCCCCCATTCTTTTCCTTTTCCCCATCCCGCTTCTTTACTTGTTACTCTCCCCTTATTCCCTTGGAACGGTCTATTCCTCATAGGCAGGGCTCTGTGTTCCAGTGAAAGTGGAGAAACAAGCCTGGCTTCTGGAAGCCCTTTAGGCTGAAGGATATGACCTAAGTGTGTGTGCTAATATGCACACAACTATCCACCGGATAATTCCATAGGATGGACACCGTGATAGTCTTGAGCCACGGAAGCATTCCCTTCCTATTTGGCTCTAACTCTTGGAGTAAAAATTATGGACTTTACTCAAATATTAATTTATATTTAGGGCAAGCTAATAACCTCATTGATACCGTGGCATAGAAATTATTGATCATTAAATCTACTACCATCTTGCCCTTGACCGACGGGTCGGCGAACCAGACCTCGATGTTGCTGCAGCTGACCCTCGACTCCTACACGCACGAAGAACTGTTGTCCTTGGAGCGTCACGTGTTGGTGGTCCTCGGCTTCCAGTTAACCTACGCCGACCCCTCGGTCTTCCTTAACTACTTTCTCTATCTCACCTGCAACTCCAACGACCAAATGGTAAGTCGCAAGACCCGCCTATTAAGTGCATTGTTTATGCATTTTTTGTAGTTATTGTAATTTTTAATCTCGCGAGATGGAGCGAGCGTGTTGATGATCAGGTAGACGGTTACATCTACTATCCATTATGTCCTTGTTTTTTACTGCTCGACCTAAACATCCACTCTATTCTATAGTAGCTTGTGTATTGAGGAACACCCTCGTCTAGATTTCTAGAGGTTGCTCTTGGTTTGATTTTGGACCAACACTGGTGTTAAGCCCAACAGTGTTGGGCTTAACACCAATCAACCATATACTGTCCGGTCCTTCCCCTTTTTCAGCTCCTGCTTTACTTCGTACTGTCCTTATGACCTCTATTTTTTATTCTTTTCACTACATCGTTACTTGACACGCCTGGATTGAACTCTCGTTACCATTTGTCTGGCCAAACTTACAACCTTGTTAAGCTGCTCACAATGAAATCTAATTCAGTTTGTATCTTTTTCATCTGTTTTAAAGTCGGTAAACATTGTCGCGTGGAGACCTTACCTCCATAGGAAGATTATTCCCGTGAATGAGGAACAGTTAAGAGGCCAAGGACAGAGCCGTGAGTGTTCCTACTTCTCTCGCTTTGACACCCTGTTTCAGGTGAATTAACTTGCCAAGTCCAGCCTGCTGGTCCGTTTATGGGGAACAGTATCGGTGTTTCTCGTTGTCAAATATGATTTCCACTTGTAGTAAAACTGTACATTGTCGGACATTCTCCTAAACCCATGAAGTCCGTTTTCTATATCTAGATATATCTTCTAAACCCATGATGTCTGTCTGCCATTTCCAGATGTTCCTTTTCTAAACCTATGATGTCTGTTATGCTTGCCATCTCCAGATATTCCATAATCTTTCAGACTACCTCCTCTACTTTTTCAAGTAATGGCTTCCAAATTTTTGGGACAGGAATTCTATTAGGCTTATCAAGGTTCCAGTAGGAAAACTTCTGACCCTCCACAGGACACAAGCCATAACAGTAAACTAACTCCAGGAGGGGAGGTGGTTTATTCCTGCTGGACGAACACACACACACACACACACACACACACACACACACACACACACACACACACACACACACACACACACACACACACACACACACACACACACACACACACACACACACACACACACACACACACACACACACTCACTCACTCACTCACTCACTCACTCACTCACTCACTCACTCACTCACTCACTCACTCACTCACTCACTCACTCACTCACTCACTCACTCACTCACTCACTCACTCACTCACTCACTCACTCACTCACTCACTCACTCACTCACTCACTCACTCACTCACTCACTCACTCACTCACTCACTCACTCACTCACTCACTCACTCACTCACTCACTCACTCACTCACTCACTCACTCACTCACTCACTCACTCACTCACTCACTCACTCACTCACTCACTCACTCACTCACTCACTCACTCACTCACTCACTCACTCACTCACTCACTCACTCACTCACTCACTCACTCACTCACTCACTCACTCACTCACTCACTCACTCACTCACTCACTCACTCACTCACTCACTCACTCACTCACTCACTCACTCACTCACTCACTCACTCACTCACTCACTCACTCACTCACTCACTCACTCACTCACTCACTCACTCACTCACTCACTCACTCACTCACTCACTCACTCACTCACTCACTCACTCACTCACTCACTCACTCACTCACTCACTCACTCACTCACTCACTCACTCACTCACTCACTCACTCACTCACTCACTCACTCACTCACTCACTCACTCACTCACTCACTCACTCACTCACTCACTCACTCACTCACTCACTCACTCACTCACTCACTCACTCACTCACTCACTCACTCACTCACTCACTCACTCACTCACTCACTCACTCACTCACTCACTCACTCACTCACTCACTCACTCACTCACTCACTCACTCACTCACTCACTCACTCACTCACTCACTCACTCACTCACTCTCAGATGTAAGAAAAGTTCGCAAAGTCTTGTCCTACCCGGCAATCGACCTAGGTCTAATCGGCCGAGAGTCGAGTGCGATGCATATGATAATGCACATCAGTGACCAGAGGTTTCACGATTAAGGCCTTCTGACTATGTGCTAGATGGGGAAAATATTAGGGGTATTACTATTTACATATCCTACTGGGTACAGGTATCTCGAGCATGTTCTTGCAGGTCCCCATAACCAGTTACTGACCTAATCAAATAGTGGCAAGCCTAAAAGAACATCTTGATCGCATAAATTAGTGGTGGTGGAGACATTGTTCCTGCAGATAGTTGCAATTATAATTGTAATACCTGTTATTCATAATTATGATAGAGGAGCGTGTCTTGAGACAGGTGGTTTGGTGCAGTGGGTTCCTGGTGGATGTGGTGATGGTGGAGGAGTGGCCGCTGGAATCCCGCCCTTCTCTCCTGGCGGCTGGCGCGCTCTACGGCGCCCTGCGCGTTCTGCGCGGGGCGCTGGCTGTTACGCCGCTCTGCGCATTTATGCCCACGTTCTTCGGGTTGGTTTAATGTCACGGTTTTAAAGTGTACAATGATTTTTTTATTTTTTTGGCATCAGTTGAGTGAAAGTATTATAGTAGTAATTTTCTATATTTTTGCAGTGAATGGTAGTATTAAATATAGTTGCTTTTTGTACATCTTTTTCTATAGTCCCTCTTTAATTTGCATTTTTAGTTTCTCAAAGCGTTTGAGAAAGTGATAATTTCCTTATATTACTGATTTTTGTGTTAACTGTTTATCAAGACAATAAAAATTAGTTGCAATTTTTTACATTTTTATTTAACTGGGAATAACGCAAATGTGGAATGGATGAGCACAGATTCACAGGGCCTATAATTATATTTCTCGCCGTAGTGAATCACCCACGACACACAAAACACCAAAACACTGAAGGATACACGGATATCCTTCAGGCATGTGGTATACATGTAAATGTATACCACATTTACAGTATATGAAGTATACTGTTTCTCGGTGTATATACACGGTTTTTTTATTTTTTTAGTTCAATTATGCACCATTTGTTAGTGTCTCAGAATTCACGTATATTTTCGCACTCTTGTTCCCGGACAATGTTGTGGCCTAAAGTATAAGGCCGCTGTTTTTTTTTCAGTAAGCACAATTGTGGCGACCGTTAATAACCCCTCCGGTGACCGATAGGCCTTAGGCTCAACAAGACCAAATGTCTTGCTGTACTTGCATAATTGTCTTGCTTCTTAATTCTTAAAGATTAACAGAAAAGTTTGCCACCAGTTCACGAAAGTCAGATTTTAGTGTTTAATTTTCTATATTTGTTCTTATGCATTTCACCAGAGATGAAGATTTGGCAAGTTTATTCGCAAGACGATTAATTTCCTTCAGACTATAGGTAATTGTATACTGTATACTCGCAGTTATATACTGCGAGAGGTATTTTTTTATTTAAGGCCTTGCTGCAGCATTGTCCAAATGAAGACTTTGCAGCATGCCATTGTCTTCCCCAATACAAAAACCATATTACCACGCCACTGCAACAAACTTCCCTACACCATTACTAAAAATAACTACCAACACCTTTATCTTCACTAATGATACATCTACCTCCACTGCCTCTGGGCCCGCCACCACGGTCGCTGGATGGAACAGACTGGACGAGGTTGACGTCGCAGCACAGAGCGTGCGTATGCTTGAGGCTCTGGCCAATCGAAGCCACTCCCGCTTCCAGGTGAGATTAAATTGTTGCCTCTTGTACCAGTGCCTTGAAGCTGACCTCCATCCATACGAGACTGCATGCATTTGTACGTGTAAATGTGCTTGCAGGGTCAAGCATAAATTGAGTTCTTTCAATCATCATTTTTTTTTTTTTTTTTTTTTATATATACAAGAGTTGTTACATTCTTGTACAGCCACTAGTAGGCGTAGCATTTCGGGCAGGTCCCTGGAATACGATCCCCTGCCGCGAAGAATCGTATTTTCATCCAAGTACACATTTTACTGTTGCGTTAAACAGAGGCTACAGTTAAGGAATTGCGCCCAGTAAATCCTCCCCGGCCAGGATACGAACCCATGACATAGCGCTCGCGGAACGCCAGGCGAGTGTCTTGCCACTACACCACGGAGACTGTGTGTTTTAATGAATAGACTCTTTAATTTTGTTTGTTACCTGCACTTAAAGTAAAGTTCGTTGACAAGGAAGTGGATGGAACTATGTTTTGTCATCCACCTGACTCTTGTATTTCTTGTTTCCCATCTATAACGCCTTGTTCTGCTGTTCCTAGCTTTGAACGCGGCATCTTTGTCTATTTTGTTTGTTCCTTTAGAATCTGGTTGACTGATGTTCATCTTTCCCTTTGTTATATAATGGCAACACAGAATCCATTTTCTAGCAGCCTGGAAGTTCTCCCTTCTCCAGTGAGGAGCTAAATTAACATAAAGGCCATTGGGTACTTGTCAACTGGGTGCCAAGTCATGTGGGAATAATAGGAAATGAGATTGCAGACGAAGCTGCAAAACTTGCAACTAAGGGAAGAAATGTAGACATTTACATACCACAGAGTCTATCACATATTAAGTAATTAGAAACAGAGCAATGCAAAAGATATACAGTGACCACAACACAGCAGTTGCAATATCAGGATCTGCGGGTTCATACAAGAATTTGACTAACTACGAACCACTTAGTTTGATGAAAGGGAGCCGTAGAACAGAAGTACACTTGCATTGCATCAGGCTTGGATACCCATGTGCATGGGAAATATACTTACAGGTTCCGGAACATGAGAGGAAATGTCAGCACTGTGGAGAAATGCCTGACAGACCACTGGAACACTATCTAACACAGTGCAGAGTTACAAACCCATTAAGATTTCAACGTAGATTCAACCGAGCAGTTGTTGTTGTTAAACACATGGGACAAAATCTTACTGAAGCGACCATACAAGTCATAAATACTCATACTCTGCCCAAGTAAAACAAACAAGCAACACTTAGTGGGCAAACCAGAGGCTCATGGTTCGTCCAGGAATATACCTACAAAAAAAAAAAAATGTTATAGGACACTGTTGATAATAAATCTTTTCAGGGCCTATGATTGAATGCATTTTTAGAAGTGCAATACAGTACTGAGTGTCTAAGGCTGGAGACCAGATGCTGGGGATGGGGAAGAAGGGGCGCCCCCTAGCCTCACCCTCACTCTCGCCCAACTTTGCATGGTGAATGGGCTGGGGTACAGGATGGACAATGGCTGGCTGGTGTCGGTCCTGTTGATCCTATTAAGAAGGGATCAGGCCCACCCAAAGACCCCTCTGCCCACATAATTGTTATGAAGTCTGAAGTGAAATCACGGATGTATTTTCTGCAGTCTTCCTCTTCTGTTTACCCATACATTTTTATAATTTACTTGAAAATGTAGATGACCCCAGGCACCCCTCCTAGTCTATACCTATAAATGTCTGTCTATCCAAGGTTGGAAGTAAAGATACTTGAGGCTAGTCTCATTAAACTTCATAGGATTATTGGTGATTTTATGAAGTGTCAAGGGGAAAGGTCAGATTAGTGCCACCCTGGAGGGAGCACAGTCCCAATGTCCTGTCCTTTGCGAAGTCTGGTTGATACCTGGTTGATGGGGTTCTGGGAGTTGTTCTACTCCCCAAGCCCGGCCCGAGGCCAGGCTCGACTTGTGAGAGTTTGGTCCACCAGGCTGTTGCTTGGAGCGGCCCGCAGGCCCACATACCCACCACAGCCCGGTTGGTCCGGCACTCCTTGGAGGAATAAATCTAGTTTCCTCTTGAAAATGTCCACGGTTGTTCCGGCAATATTTCTTATGCTTGCTGGGAGGACGTTGAACAACCGCAGACCTCTGATGTTTATACAGTGTTCTCTGATTGTGCCTATGGCACCTCTGCTCTTCACTGGTTCTAATCTACATTTTCTTCCATGTCGTTCACTCCAGTACGTTGTTATTTTACTGTGTAGATTTGGTACTTGGCCCTCCAGTATCTTCCAGGTGTATATTATTTGATATCTCTCTCGTCTTCTTTCTAGTGAGTACATTTGGAGGGCTTTGAGATGATCCCAATAATTTAGGTGCTTTATTGCGTCTATGCGTGCCGTATATGTCTGTATATGGCACGTATATGTCTGTATACGTATATGCCGTAGTCTGTGGATGTGAAATGTTCTACTCGAGTCTGCAGACCTTGCCATTAGTTTAAATAAGTGAATTCACATTCATAACACTCAGAAAATGTGTTCAAATGAGTTTTGCATTCTAAGCACAATGTTTTGGTTACATTGATGGGGGAAGGGTGTGAGAGAGAACGGGGAGGGTTACAGCAGAAGGGCATGAGCAAGCAGGGAGAGAAGAGATAGGAGTGTATATATCTCTCTCAAAAGAGATAGGGGTGGGGGGATGGCTGTGAGAGAGCAGGGGGGGGGGATGGCTGTGAGAGAGCAGGGAGAGGTGTGTAGAAAGAGGCGTGTGTGCTGGGAGGAAATTGGGAAGGGTGTGGTGGGAGAAATATGGATGGCATGAAGATATTTAGTGATAAAGGCGGTATGTACTGGGGGAAAAAAATGCTTAGTGACCGGGGAGATGGAGGGGTTAATATGGGAATATAGTTTCCTATATGCCAAAACTGCACACATTTTTATGATAAAGAACTTTGATAAAGCATTCATCTGTATCATTTTAATTTACTGATGATAATTTTTTGTGAATTAAAGATTTGTATTGCTAATCATTTTTATCTGATGATTTGTTAAAGTGATACATGTTTTCAATTATGGTTGTACAGGGGGCTGTGAACAAATATTTGAGCAAGTCTCACTATAACTCCCTAGCCAAGCACTCCTGCCTTGCTCCTGACAACATCCTCATTGTTGTTGAACACACAAAGACCAGACTCTCTGAGCTACGAGGATCGGGTGCTGCTGTTGTCAAAGAAACTCCACTTTCGGACAAGCCAGATTCGCCAAAATATATAGCAGTCAAGGATAAAGATAAATTTGGAGTAACAGGCAGCTGGCAGACAGAGAACTCTGAGGCTCCTGTAGCAATGGATGCAATGGTGTGTCCTTTGCACACGCATTGTGGTACTCGGCAGTCTTTAGATGTTACTGGAGATTCAGAGGAAGAGACGATGGAAATAGTGGACAACTCTGACATTCAGCTGTGTGCGTGTGCGCACGTGTAATGTGATTCCTTACATAAAATTGCGTGTATTGAAGATGACAATTTTGTGTTGATACGGGTGTAATTTAAGGTGTCTTTTTTCGATGACCAAATTTTTGTAATGTATGCCATTTGTAATACAGTATAAGAATGTGGTTCCTAATGGCAGCTTGTTAATGGTAAACACACTTTCTCCCACATAACTGCTGGCATTGTACTTGAAGAATAAAACTGAATTTCATGCCCTGAAAGACCTTTCAAGGTATACCTTTAGTTTTTTTTTAATCTAACTTGTTATATCAGTGATGGATATTCTTCTACATACCAAATAGATCATGTCAACTAAACCAGTGGAATGTGTTAATGGGACTTGAATTTTCTCCAGCTTTTCTACGCAACATAAAGTGATTCCGCAAGATGAATAGCTTGTAAATTGCTGTACTGTATATTGATTTTTTGTTGAAATTACCAAGATGACAAAGTATTTATGATGGTCAGAATAACATTATAATTTGATTCTTTCATTAATGTATAAAAGGCAAGTTTTAAATTTGTATTCTGGTTGATGAATTGAAGTTTAGCCTGTTCTTTCATGTAGGTCAATACAGTATTGTAGTTCTATTAAATCTGTTTCTTCATGAAAGTGTTTATAGTGCCAGAACATTTTCTTTTGGGGTCTCGTTGTTATTGTTGTTATTATTAATGTAAATTTTGACAATATAGCATACTCATATACATTTCCTGTGTAAAACTTTTTTCTTTTGTTATCTTGGGCACTTCTAGCAAATGCTCCATAATAATGGTAATTAACATTCGTTGATCACAAAAGTATATCAAAGAGTCGTCACATCACGATTTTGTTGATATATTTATAACAGAGGTGTTACAATTGCATTTTTTTGTTTTTTAGATGTCAATATCTACACTGCAGGTAGAGCATAAATATTCTTAATAACATAGGTTAAATAAACCTATTTCATGCGTTTAGGCTATGGAATTGATTGAGGTTTGAGAAACCTCGCACAGTAGTACAGCATATTTTAAGTCATAAAAGCAATTCAGAACTTGGCATTGATTGAAAATTTCTTTAAAAACTTGCATTAGGTACTTATGATTCTCTGCAAACATTGTTAAAGTACTGTATGCATTTGTATGTAATGTTAGGCTTTGTTCTTGTCTATAGTTTTAATACCATTTTTGTTTTATTTTTGACTTGTTCTTTGTGAATAGCAGGCAGATGAGTGATAAGGTAGATGTTTACCACTTTTGCTCTTTCTTTATTCATTCTTCCAAATCTTGCAATTTGCTGTCTCTTTATCATCTTTGCTCTTCAGTTTCCTTCTTTTAAATTACTTTGTATTTCATGGATAAATGTTTTATTTCCACTATATTATTTAATTCCAAATGTTTTGTTAAAGTTTTCCTTCTCTTGCTCGAGATAATATTTTTACTGTATTAGCTTTCAGACATTACAATCCTTCTGCTGTTTGTTTATAAAGACATTTTCCCTTGTGTGATTGTTGTTAATTTAAGTGTTTAATGGGTTGTGAGTGGATAGTTGATGCTTTGGAACAAAATTTGTTAGATAATTTTAGCTTTGATTATTAAACAGTTTTCACAGTAACTGCTGGGTATTGTGAACTTAATATTTTGATGTTAATATCAAGGCGTGTGTGTGTTCTCCCGCTCTTGTCTTGGCATCCTGAATGATCTCTAGAAACTCTTAAGGAGTCTGTAACATTGCTAAATAGCACATTCTTTTGATAATTTTGTGGGTGCATGTTCTCTCCCTATAAGTAGTCATTCACTTGTTTGTACTGTACTAACAATGTTGCAAGGGAAATTTGGGTTTATTAAAGACTGTGGGGGTGCTGCTTAGGGTGTAACTAGGAAATATACTGTATTTACATTTTGTGTGTTACATGTTTAGGATATTTGCTGTGATATTTCCACTCTTGTTCTGTGATACTTTCCATACTGGAAAATTATATTACTCTGATATACGGTAATGCAAATTCCAAATGCATAAGCTCTCAATAGCTAAAATTTATTTTCTACAGTTGTTTCATTCTGCCATTCGCCTTGCTGGGGAAAATTACGTGCATATGATCTAAGTGGAAAGTTAGTGGTCTGAAACTGTATGAGTATTTAGTATGGCAAGTTTGTATCATGAAAAAAATTGCATAGTAACAAAAAAAATTGATATACCCTGTACTTTTCAGACTAGAAACAAACACAAGTGCAAAATGTGTATTAAAGCATATCTTGCATCTTCCATAAAATTCAAACTTCAGCAGTTGGAGTCTTGCCTTAATTTTCATCATTGCTACCTAAATGATACTGACATAGCAAGATCTCCCATTATCTCGTTGTACTGTACTCACGATGTCCTCCTATCACTGGAGGATGCATTGTGCACATATATCCACACTACATCCATCCAAATCCAGACCACCTCACAACAGATTCTTCTAAACAAAATTTACCATATATGTGTTTGATATCTGGGTATCTGATCTTGAATATCTGATATCCAGATATCAGATACAATATTGGATATCTGAGCTCGAGTGCTTCCCACTCCATTTTGTTGTTACTGTCAGGCTAGCCATTTACAGGATTTTCTGTCCACATTAGTATAGTTATCTATGGTGAAGGATTACCCTTATGATGGCTTATACCCCCCTCCTATGGTCATGAAATGCCTCGTCCTTGAATGTTTTCACTGTCACTCGGGCTCTGCCATTCCCCAGAGATGAGCACTTGAAGCTCTTCGATATACAATTCCGACCAATCTGTCATATTCTGAGCACCAACATTCATTCTTTATGGTTGGCTCTTGAAAGTGCTCTAATAGTCCTGGTGTCTTTTAACCTTTCTATCCTGTAACGGTTGAAATCCAGTACTGTACTAGCTTTTCCTCATTTTCAGCAGGTGTAAGACTTGATTTTTACTGGATTTCCAGCAATACTTGTGTTGCCAGTAAGGACCTCGCTGGTGCTGTGGTTGAGGCTGTTCATGTCTGTCCCATCTCCCAAAAGCGGCTTCCATACTTGGATTTCTAGCCTGTAAGTCACGCTGCAGTTCACAACTGTTGCGGTGAGCATTGGTGGTGTTACGAATGCCAAAATACATGGTATTAAATGTAAGAAAGACATGCATTATACCACTTGTAAAACATTATTTTACATTATCCTTGTAGAATGTCTATTTTCAGGAGGATTGTATGTCTTGTTTTTCCAACCTCCCCCTCCCCCCTCTCCCTTTTTTTCCCCTCTATTAAATATTTAGTAAATCATATACTGTACTATACTTTTGACATCAATAACTCTTTCCTCTTGCTCATTTATTAACATCTTGAATGATCTCACTTTTTGACTGCCACTTTTTGACTTTGTGTGCCACATTAAAAATGTCAATTTAGCATTGAATTAGGTGGCAGCAGTTTAAGAGGAAGTGGATGTTCGTGGAAGACAACTTTTGAATGTTACTGTTATAAATGGTATACCGTTTGAATGGTATACTGGTGTGGAGTGGTTGTGCTGGTTCTTTCTGATGGAACAGAGTAAAATATGAGGATTGGACAAGTGGCAACTCGTTTATTTACAACTTTTATCTAGTATGACATGCCTCCTTGCTAAATGGATGATGGTGATTTACATAATTTTTGCACTTTAAAGAAACGGAATTGGCCAAGAATCCCCCCCACTAAATTCTTCGGTTCCACACTTTGATCATCAGTTTATATTTATTAATGTCATTCCTTTCCTGTTCATTGTGGCATTTTCCTCCTGATTTTAGCATATCAAAATGCCTAAAATTAACTGAAAGCTGCATAAACCTTAGTGAATAATATGCATCAATCTTTCATTCCATTGCTGTATTTGGGTCCCATTTCCAAGTTACAAATCTCTTGCATAGAGCATCTGAAGAAACTGCTTTCAGTTGGTTTGATCTTGAGTATGTGTGGAAGAGAAGGAAACGGAATTATCAAGGGAAAGCGCTAAGCCATTACGACTATATAGCACTTGGAAGGGGTCAGGATAAGGACTTTGGATGGGATGGGGAGGGAAGGTATGAAGTAAATTATCATTATTAAAAGGCACCAAGCTGGGAAGACTATGTAGCACCCTCTGTGTTGTGGGACATTCAAGAGGTGCTAAATATCACTCGGGATGCTAACATAAACAGACAACGCGAGTGTTCTATGAGAACAAAGATTTATCAAGATTGGTGTCCCAGAGGGATACTAGGAAAGCAAAATAATCCTGAAAATTGGGGCATTCCACAAGGTGGTGGATGACTAAGTGGGACATTGCAGTCCAGACAAACAGGAGTAAGACAGCTGCGTAACACGTCCACGAGTTAAGCAGGTATGACAACCTGACCAAATCGGTTTCATCCAGTCTCTTATGGAAGGCCAAGGGGAAAGGTTGCTTTTAAGAGCAAGTAGTTTACCTGTAATGCCAGTCCAATAACAATGCCAGTGATCGTGGATTGCAGAATGATTGACTGGTTATAAATCCAAATAAGGAATCCCTCTCTGAAATGTTACAAGCACGAATGGCTTTCCTAACAGTGATGTCTGCAAGTTCATCCATGGTACTGTAACTAAATTTTGGCTGGGGACCCCGCAAAATTTGAGTTTTGTATCTGCAAGAGATACGAAGCAGCCAGGATTTGATTTTGACCACAACAATATGCAAAGGGTTAAGACTCCAGAGCCATGAGGGCACTGGATGCAGCCTGTCCTCTAAACAAAGACCCACAGTCCATTCCATGCACCCACCAATCCATGTTTATTAATGAAGAAAGGTTTACACACGACTCGCAACAGATGATGATCAAACATTTCCGGAACAAGTGTTTCACTTATAAATTTTGTTCAAATCGCAATGCTGTAAATGCTTCACCCACGCACTACAAATACAAATAATCGCCAACAGAACCTAAACACCTAACCTAACCAGTGCCTAAATATGTACAATATGCTAATATAAAATGATAATTTATTAAAATTCCTGCTTTGAACAGCATGTTAAAACTGATGAATGTGTCTTTGGGGTCGATCGCTGGAGGAAATGGACTTGGTCTGAGGACGGGTTGCTGCGCGAGTCAACCACTATGACAAAGGAACATTAACAATGAAAAGGCAGCTGATGAAGAGCATACAACAAAACTATGTAAGTTTTGCAGTGAAGATATTAGTCTATAGGAAAACAATGGAGCAGCAAACACCATTCACCCATCTGTGAACATGGCAATGGAGTGCAAGAAGAATGTTCAGAAGATGCTTTTCGAAACCGTAGGAGAGGAATAAGTTTTAATTACGTGAGGGTCGTCACTTTGCAACATTTCACAAGTGTGGGTGGGGGCCCTCTATGGGGGGCCAAGGTAAGAAAGACATGAGATGTTGCCAATGTGAACCAAGAGAGAGACTTTTAAAAGGGCCACCCTTGTGGCAAAAGGGAATAGGTTCCCCTCCAGATTAGCAGTGTCAAACCACAGCACATGTGGGAGTGTGGATGTAACAAAGACCACCCTAGGAAGCAAAGGAGTAATGATAATGATACTGTAGAACTAGAACACCATTTTCAAAATGCAAGTTTTGGGCAAGAGTTGAATGAAAGGCATCAGGAAAATGAGTTGGGTACCATAATGGTGCAGGTACCACCAAAGTGCCCAGACCAGTGAAGCTGCCCAATTGGGCTGTATGGCCATACTGTATGAGCTGTTATCTAAAGCCTGCTGAACCATATTTTTGTCATATCTGGCCAAAATAACATTCTGGATAATTTTGTCGAATTTTGTCATATTTGGATAACTGGAGAGTAGGTTGCATAAATTTTTAAGATCTACAGTATCAAACAAGATGAATTTTCACTGACATTTTCTTTATTTACAATGTGGGGGAAAAATTTGAATTATTGTTGGATGTACAAGCCATTGCAAATAGTAACTTTTGGACTACCTCTGTAAAAATTCTGCTTATTTGGTGAAGATTCCTTCCCATAAAGTCCGGATAAGTGAGCTTATCCGGACAGTACAGTACTTCATCCAGTTTTTAACTCCTGAAGATGGTGAGGCATCAACTCCGGAAGAAATAGGTGAGCAGTATACAGCCAACATTATACTGTATTTAATATGGAAAATAAAGTTTGACAAAAAAAAAAAAGATTTAACATTATTTATTCTTGATAGCCCATACAAATATATCACATTTATTGTAGTAAAGAACATCTTCCATACAAAAGTGTCCACACTTAAAGACTAGAATGACTGATTGTATTTTACAATCTACAACACTGGACGTATTTTTACTTGATAAAAATAGCACGCAAAAATTTTGATTAGAATACACACAATTACACAAGAAGAGATCACATACAAAGCAAAGTGGAAATTTTCTCAGTCTCGACATACAAAATTTATATTGGTAATTGTACATCTGCCTTTCAAAGGTACAAAGATATCCACGTAGAGAAAGCAGTAACTGAAGCCATCATTGTAAATGCCTAAAGGAATCTTGTGTCAGTGTATGACCAGAATACACAAATTACTCCCATAATTTAGCCATTAATTATGAACTACCGAGAAATTTATTACTAGGTTATCAACCCCTTGAACAATACTGCTTCTACACATATTATATAGCATTCCAATAGGCACTTATTGCAGTAATCTTGTGTAATTCCCTATCCCGAGATAAAACCCTTGCCCCCAAGTCTCCCACAATTCAGTGAAGTGGCAACCCATCTACAAAATAAGAGTGGCCCAGGGACCTCGCATGGCAGCTGTAGACTCTGTATATGTCACAATTATTAGTGAATGGATAAAAAGAGCAATAAAGGACAAACTGTCCACATCTACTAGGAATAGTGACAACAGGCTTCCTCAACTTCCGCCAAGGCCTCTGGGTTATAAATAGGCCAGAGTCACACGAAAGTAGTTAGGAACAGCTTTTGCAGGCCTATGATAAAAGCTTCACATCATAACTTTGAAAGATATTGCTTCCAAAATAATTGGCAGCTCTGTGATCGCGATGAATTCAAACACGAATGAAACCGAAATTAATATACAGGACTCTACTGTCCACTAGGAGGCACTGACATGCTAAAATAGTTGCCTATGGCAGTTCTCAAGTAATTCAAGTGATGAGTTTTAGATTACTTAAGAATACATCCTTTAAACCTATCTCCAGTGGATCCCTGTTGAAGATTTAATTTTTTTTTTATAAGCACCTTTAAGATACAGTATATGATTTACATAGTTAACACACCTCACACTAGACATTCAACAGTTTGAACTTGTAAAAGTTTTCAAGCAAACTATTGTAGTTCTTAAAATACTTTTGGTCAAAATAGTTAAGCTTCAAATGCATTAGTAAAATATGCTTATTCAGGCCTTATTGCCTCATTCTCAACAAATTTGTATTTAAAACTAAACATCAATTAAAAAAAAAAAATTAAGTTTCCAATTTTGTTTTTTCATGGAAAAGTAATTACAGCGACATGTTATATGTATTAAATAACATAGCATATAATACCTCGTATGTTATGGGGAAACTTCCTCCTCACGATTATCATTTATGTAAATACTGGCACTATATATTCTGACTATTCATTTTTGTTATAAACTTGATTATGACATTGACTAAACTTTTCAACATTATATATATCAGTGAATATAATTTTTTTTAAGAAAAAGAACATTTACAATGAATAGTTAAAAGTTTGCCAACATACCAGTGTCTTGTACAAGCAGACACCACGAGAGTCTGAGGAAGACAATGCCACAAGAAGCTTGTATGAAGCAGAAGGTCCATACACCGATCATTATGATGCAGCCAAGGCAACTTTTTCTTTTCGCGATTCTTTTTCTTTCTTTGGTTCTGAAAGAAAGAAGAAACTTGTCATCACAGTCTTTAAAAGGTAAGATAATAATCAGGAGAAAGCACCAAGCCATTAGGATTACGTAGTCTTTGAACAATCTTCAATTGCAACAATACTTTGATGTTTAATGTTAAGGCTTGTTGCAGCACATAGTGGGGCAAGGTCATTGGCACTCTGCCGCCCACAATTTTCACCACTGGATAAAATGAAGCCCTCCAAAATGTCAGTAACTCTTCAAATTCTGTATATTACAACTATAATATGTGTATGAAAAATAATGAACATGTCCAGAATTTTGTTTTTCATGGCTACACATATAGGCTTATGGAGTATAGTTTATCATCTAATAATTATAGTTAACACTTTTTATTAGCAGGCAGGTATAAGGTCATTAAACTGGAATATGATACAATGGTAAACAGTATTATTGGTGTAAAAAAAAAAAAAAAAGTTTCTTAATCATTGCCAATCAAGTTTCTCAAAATCATGGGAATCCCACCAAGAATACTGGAATACTATGCTATTTTTCCCATTAGGGTAATGTCAGTTCTTGACGTTCATTGGTACCCAAGGAACAAGCCATCAAACATGAGGGTAGCTAATGTTACTCTTTTCTCCAAAAAATATAAATAAATAAATAAAAACATTTAAAATAGCACCAAATAATCCTGCCACACCATGCTACCGTGTATAGTAATATAAAATCAAAATGTTATGCGATTACCATGATACAAGCCACCAAACAGAGTGGTCAATGCTGGTATTCTGCCGTGTGAATTTTGGACCTGCGGTTGTGTCAAATAAACTAGAGCCCTCAAGATGATGCAAAAGGATATAGTTACTATGACACGGCAGAAACAATACACATAGCTCTTTAAAGAAACACACTTCAGTACCTACGAAGGCTACTTGTCATAAAGTGGAAATAACCGACTTAAAATATATGACATAGCATATTAAACAAAAGCTTCCCGTTTGCAGCAAGACCAAATAGATGGAATAAACAGAGAAAAGCTAAATTTACATTTCAAATATAAACACAAAATCAAGCAGTTACAAGAGTAACCCAAAACCATTCAGCTGTGACTAAAAATAAAACAACAATAGGCAGTAGAAAAAAACTGAAATCTATTGAATAATTGCTATAGCATACATGTCTCGGCATCTTACGAGGTTTACTGTATAGTATTTTTCAGAAATTTCTGAACTCAAAGATGAATCTACCCTATTCATTTATCTCCCAAATATTTAGAGTTAATAAATGCACCTTGTGAAAAGCTTCTGCTTTGAAATCTGGCCTAAAAATGAGTAGCATATATTTGTTGTAATGTAAGACATTAAGACAAGTGCCTGCTCGAAATGGAGAATATGCTAAAAAAAAAGCAAACTGGTGCCAAGCTGCAATATTAGGGCAATTATTTGAAAAGGTAAGATACTGGCAGGGTCACATGGACAAATGGAAGGTATGGTGCGTGTCACTGATGCAAAATGTTGAATACACAGTTGCAAGAAATTTGTTTAGAGGAAAATGTGACAAATGAATCCTAAATGAACTGGAATATAAAGTAAAGCTGATGTACTGAGACAACATGCTCAAAGAAAATATAATGGACAAAAAATGTACACAAGATAGATGAATTCAATACCTGGAAGAATTTCAGGAACATCGGGAAGTACGACCTCTGGAGTTTCAGCTGCAGTGGGAGCCTCGGGTAGCTGCTTCTGAAGAGCATCAGCAATAATGGCATCCAGTTCTTCCTCCACAGCCATCTCATCCTCCTCAGTTAGCAGCCCACCACTCAGCAGAGCATCAATCTCCTGCACAAAAGATTAGTTTTTACATACAGCACTTGATAACTGACTTGCTTATGATTTAATGGAAGACACATGTTACAAAAAATGTAAACTGAGAATATTAGAAAAAGACAAATCTGATATAATTTATCATTGTTAAGAACTTATCTGTTCCACACAGATATGAGGCATTACTAACAGCAATTTTATGATCATTCACCAAGAAATAACTACTGGTTCAGTATTAGAAATAATGGATACTGATTATAGTACAGTACATAATTTATGTTACAGGCAGATTTGTAATATGGTACAGTATTTGAATATTAACAATAATCAACATCAGGTATTTCTTCATGTTAAATGGGTACCTCAAGGAAATTAAATGCTTAAAGTTGAAAGAGACTACAAAATAAAACCAAGTCTTCAACACCATCTACATTTGAACCAGAACCTGCCTGGTTCTCAGCCAGTGGGGGAATTCCTTTGGGGTAGCATTTTATGGTTTTAGTGGCGGAATTTGGACCACAGACTCATAATTATTGTAATAGTATTCTTCATATAAACAAAAATTCTACAGATTGTACAAAATCTACAGGACATCACACTTTATTGTGTCACAGATTAAAATAAAAATAAATATTTAACTTTAACCTTAGGAAATATTGGAACTGCAGGGATGTTGATCGCCAGAACCAACAACAGAAAGGAAGGTAGCCAGCTATCGAGTCAGATCATTTTGAAAGGGGTGCATTGGGCAAAATTTTTTAAGAACCAATAATTTTGTTTTAAATGATGATTCAGAACTAAATTTATTGCAGGTTATCATATCAGCTTGATGTCCTTCACTTGTCAGCTTATGTTATGAGTATGCAACTCAATTATAAATGGTGTTGGTTCTGTTGTTAACATCTTGGCCAGATCTAAATTGCATGTCCATTTTTAATGAACTTGAAGTATCATTGAGAAGTATTCATAAGGAAGACTTCACAAGTTTTTTATTACTCAAATTGACATGTAAAGTAGTATGTTATAAAAATGTTTATATATCAAGTTACAGTTATTTCAAGCACTACAATAACGTATTAACAAATGATATATAACATAAATGACGTACCCGCTGCTTCTCTACTGCCTCCTGCGTCTCATCCAAGATACGCTCAACATCTTCAATACTGAGCACCGCATTAATCTGCTTCAGTGATTCGTTGCCTATCTTTAGACTGTCAACCACCTGCACACACACAAATGAATTAGAAGTCATACAAAATATATAAAACTAAATAGAAATTGTATTTTCTCTAATATTTATAATAGAACCCTTGAGGGACTTGGAATAATGCACATTCATTTATGCTTTTATTGGGTGAATGGTAATTCTGTAACAAGAGAGCAGTACATAGTAGAATAACATGAACATCATAACAGCATGAACAAGCCACAGGCACAGCACTAGACAATGGAAAATTCGCACCTCTGTAGAAAGCTAACCAGGAGGACAGGTCAAATGGTCACAGAGTCACGAGGTGGTCAGAGATGATGATGTCGTGATAATCTACAGGGATTAACCCCTCCACATCAAATGCAAGCCTTCATGTTCAGCTGGGGAGCAACAGATCACAGCTAGAGACAGTAGAGTGGGAGAAGTAATGGTCCAGCCTGGACCATTATCAAGTCGTATGCAATTTGATAATGGTCCAGGACTCACCGAAACATCGTCATTTCTCCATCTTTTCTCTCCGATACTGTTTGGTCATCACATCTTCAACCATGTTATTGAGACTCATCGTCTGCATGTTGTATGCATGTTCATTAATTGGGGTGCCTTCTACTAAACTGGGTTCTCTACTAAACACTCATTTCTCAATATAGTCTACTCTAACCCTGTTGTTAGAGTGGTGCCTCATGTAACCAAAGGCTATCACAAAGCAATCTGGTTGTATGAGATATCAAGGGGCAAAAGTCAAAGTGCAGTTATCTGTCTTTATTAAGGGATTTTATATTGTATTGTGATTACTGTTAATCATTTACTTGGATTCGGGCATGGTGGAAGCTAAAAATCTCTTCACTTACCTGTAATTGTATCTGAGAAAATTCTATATCCTGAATCATTCTCTCTATATTCTCTAATGTTCCATCCGTCTTTATTAGCTGCCCCTCAACAAATTTCTTCTTGCGCAGTAGTAGTAATGCCCGACTGTAAAGTTTGTGATAAACAGTAGAGTGCAATAAAGAGATGAATTCATTAAAACACCTCATGCAGAATGACTGACTTTGAGCAGAGAAAATTATCTTCATGTGCAAAATATTTAGGAGCCATTCCTAAGGACCTTGAAAGTACATAAAAAAATAATTATTTATTAAGCAATTCTGTAGTTTTTCAGTCGTAAATACAGTACAAAATGATGTGCAGGATACTTGGTATGTGAGATGATGCAAGAATGTAATTCTATTATAACTGTGATAAGGCACATAGTCAGTGTGTTATTCAGGTGTCGTGCACCAAAACCAACATGGCTATGCAAACCTCATGGACAACGTTGCAAAGAGGTAAGCTCACCCTCATACAGTTTAAATTTTGCAATTGAAAATCAAATTGTGAAAAAACAAATTGCATTCTTCAAACCCATGGAAAAATGAAGCCAACTGTACATACAATAAACCAACTAAATGAATGTCAAATGTTAAGTGAAAGAACCAATTAACATTATATAGAAAAGCCAACAAACTAATTTAAAAAAAACACATTTTAATTCTTTCTGTAAAGAACTTTACAATAAAATAATGATTTGGTATTAAATACAGTACTATAAAAAAAAAGTGAAATTGACATAATGAGTCCTATGTAATATGTATTAAAATTTTTACTATCTGACGAATGAATAGCAAAGACCATAAAACTGACTGTCGAGGTACCTGACTAATGCAAGTTGTTAGTTATAACTAAATATATACGGTATCACTTTGTGATCATACCACATTAAACATGTGAATTATTAATGATTTTAGGAATTGCACTGTATCTCCACTGTCCAATAAATTTCAATAGGCCTCAATGATAATATATGCAGAATACTAATTCTACATATAAAACAACAAATTTGTGAATGGCAACTAATCCTGTAGCTAGAGTACTTACTCTTTTCTACCATCAGAGAGAAGTTTCTTGGCAAGTTCTCTGTCCTTCTGAAGAGTTGCTTCTGAACGCTTCTGGTACTGACGTATCTTATCCCTAGTTGTTTTCAGTTGCTGAAATAAAAGACCCATTTGCTTAAATATATCAACAAAATAAAGCATGGCTTGTGTCCATCTGGCTCATAATATAATTTTTAAAACAATATTTCTAAAACTTTTTAACATTGTCTTCTAACATGGTAGCTTCCCAACCAAAAGAGCCCGAGTTCAATTCATATGGCAGGACACAAACACTTGGGCACATTTTCTTTCACCTGACAACTCTGTACACGTAGCAGTAAACAGATGCTCAGGAGTTAGGCAACTGTTATGGATTGCATCCTGGAAAAGGTTAGTCGTTGGTTAAGAGAGAGACCTTGATAAATCTAGTCCCAGATGAATATAAGGTTCCCTGTCCCAGACAAAAGTAGCAGCCTAATATAATTAGGAAGAGCATTGACAAACTAAAAGATTTAAAAGCCCCAGGTGTGGATGGAATTCAATCCAAAGTTGTAATGGAACTGGAAAATGAATTATGTCTGCCACTGAAATGCCTTTTCAGAAAATCTCTGGACCAAGGGATAGTTCCCCCTATACTGGATATATGCAAATGCCATTCCCGTTTTTCAAAGTGTTTTTTTCCCCATTTGCTGGGAATTTCCAGAAAAAGTGGAACAGGTAAGCTACCAGACTAGTCCCAGAACTGAGAGGTATGAGTTACGAGGAAAGGATACTGGAGCTAAAGCTCATGTCCCTGGAAGACAAGAGTAAGGGAGAGACATGATCACCACCTACAAAATCCTCAGAGGAAATGAGAGGGTGGACAAAGAAACGATTTAGCATAGGTGGAACATAAACAAGAGGACACAGGTGGAAATTGAGTACCCAAATGTGCCACAGAGACATTAGAAATAATTTTTTCAGTATCAAGGTACTTAACAAATGGGATGCATTAGGCAGCGATGTGGTGGAGGCAGACTCCATTCACAGGTTCAAACGTAGATATGATAGAGCCCAATAGGCTCAGGAATCTGTACATTGTTGATTGACAGTTGCGAGGCAGGGTCAAAGAACCGAAGCTCATCCCCCTGCAAGCACAACTAGGAGAGTACAGTACATACATACACACTTACATACACACTTAAGGCTTGAATCACATACATATACAGTACTTATATACACACTTAAGGCTTGAATCGACATCTTCCCCAAGGAACTACTGACCTTTTCCAGGATACAACATTACAGCAGTTGCCCAATTCCTGGGAACCTATTTACTGTGTACCGATTAGCTGAATGGTAACATGCTCGATCATTTCTGTCCTGTTCAGGAATCGAGGCTGGGATAACTGTGTTAAGACCAAAATCATCTGTATGACAGATTCAAATCCAACAAAAATTACCGCCTAATTATTTTGTGAACAAAATACCATTTCCAGTACAAGTTGGGTCAAGTTTGGCTGTAAAAAAAAAAAAAAAAAAAAAAAAAGAGGGGGGCCGCATGTTCAAAATCATATTCTGTACTGTACAAGGATTTTGCACATCGCTTATTTACCAACTGTTAAAATTATGTAAATCAATAGGTTAGACTTGATTAAGTTATGCTGGGCTAGCTTGGGTTAGGGTTGGTTGTTTTAATGGGTTATGATCAGTTTGCATGAAGGAGAGTTCGACAATGCCCGTTTCTCACTTGTTAAAACTGTACATATTGTTAGGTTAGGATATAGTACCCGAGATTAGGCTCGGATGGGTTGGGTTAGGTTAGGAAGATTTGCTTGGGTGGTGTTGGGTTTGATTTTATTAGCTAAGATTAGGCTCAGTTATTTTTGGTAGATTTTGTTGGGTTTGGCAAGTTTGGTTGATTAGGTTAGGTAGATTTTTAAATTCAATGGTAAACAGTCTTGTTTACGAAGTGACTTCTCTGGTTTTAATACAATCAAAAATACATTAGCGAGGGATATGATCAAATTGTACACAGGCGTTCAAATTCACTTTCTGGTTGTTAATACAGTATATCATTAGATTAGGCTGGGTAGGATTTGGTTAACTGGGATTAAGTTTAGTCGATCTAAAATGCCATTTTCGAGCCAACGTACAACAAAGTGACCAGACTTCAGAGTATTATATTAAAACCAATCTAACCCACCGACACCCAATAGCAATGGCTAAATTACACTACAAGCTGCAGTTGCAATACTAAATCATAAAACGAATAAACTTCATAATAATAAATATCATGAAACTGAGAATTTAGTGGAAAAAAATCTATAGGGTGAATACCCCCGTGGACGAACTGACCCACCACACCAGGCTAGGCTATAATCTTCACTCACTCACTCAACAAACCACAACGCCTCATTAACAACAAACAACAAAGAATCACTGGGGCCAAATACACACAAGCACAGCCTTGTCGTGTTCTGTCACTTTGCTGGGCTTCTTGGAGAATAAGTGTCCCATTGTAGCCTAGTTGAGGTGGGGGGGCCGATGGCTTCCTGCCTCACTCCCGTCCACCACAGAAAACCTCGCTTCTTCAGCCCCAAACTTAAGCAACTCTTGAGCTTCTCGTGAGTTGGTCTCTTGGGGCCTATGGTTGGTGTAAGTTAATTAACATTATACATTAACGTTTGTAACTAGCCTATCAACATTGTAACTTGCTTAACTAAATTAAATTTGAGGTTGAGTTCCTGAGCCCGGCAAGAGGATGGGTATGGGGTGCACAATAATAATAATAATAATAATAATAATAATAATAATAATAATAATAATAATAATAATAATAATAATAATAATAATAATAATAATAATAAACAAGATTCGTCGATATTAGCTCCCAAATGATGATTTTGGAAGGTGCCCCCAAATTTGTATTTTGATTTACAAATTTCATAATTTAACATACCAAACTTACTCAACTATTAATTATATTTGGCATTTAGTTGCGCTGTATTACCTCGTTCTTAATGACTGTATTGGCTATCTTCGGATTCTATTCTGTTGGCGGTTTGGTTTACTGCCTATTACATCACAAGAGAGTTTTGAAGGACGCTTTTCTTTAATTAACAGGCTTAGGTATACACGGCAATGTGCTGCTGTGCTATTCTATAAGAAAGATTACACAATCTAGAACAAAAACAAGAGACTCAACTTCAGCACCCACATACAACAAATAAATAAATAAATAATAAATATGTTTATTCAGGTAAGGTATATACATACAAGTGATGTTACATTAATGGATTGATATATAGATAGAACTAGTACATACAATGCCTAAAGCCACTATCACGCAATGCGTTTCGGGCAAGAAAAACATTAATATCTAGAACTTAATACTAATTGAGCATAAAGAATAAAAAGTGTTGAGAACAAATACAAATAAAGATAAAAAAAAAGGGGGAACATGACTGAAAAAGCAGCACAAATACAATAGGTTGACAAACAGTGTTGATTAAAAAAAGAAAATAGAAACACATAAAAAAGAAAGAAAAAGAAACACATAACTAAGACAGTCTCTAAAACAGTTGGTATACTCTCCAAAATCAGATATTATGTACCTAACTCTGCTTTCATCTCTCTATATTATGCACTAATCTATCCCTATATTAATTATGGTATCTGTGCATGGGGTTCAACCAATGTAAACCACCTCAAGTCCATCATCACCCAGCAAAAACCTGCTATCAGAATTATAACAAATTCTGCTTTCAGACAACACTCAGCCCCCTTGTTTAACTCCCTAAACATGCTAAACATAATCTCACTCCACAAATTTTCTTTTGTCAACTACATTTACAAAACTCTGTTCTTAAATGCAAACCATGCTCTGAAACTCTCCCTGGACAGATGTAATAGGACCCATTATCACCACACCAGAAATAAATATCTCTTTGATATCCCCAGAGTCAAACTTAATCTGTGTAAAAACTCTATGCAAATTAAGGGACCCAGTCTATGGAACTCACTCCCTAATGAATTGAAAAGCTGTCCAGCTTTTGCGTCATTCAAAAACAAAACTAAAAAGTACCTAATTTCATCTTCATAGTTTTTTACCTTGTTACTTTAAAATTGCACTGTATCTATTGCTACTCAATCTCCCAATCTTTATGTACCCAATCCGAACATCTTTACCATTGTGATCACTGCTGTCTTCTTATATGTGCTATCAATCTGCTGTATGGTGCCTATTAATCGTGTTTAAATTACCAATCAAGCTGTCAATGTAATCAATCAGAGCTTTAATATACCAATGTGGTTTATTATACTTACTAATCTCTCTCATCTCATTTTTTTCTTGCATTGTATCTATTATCATTTTATTAATTCTGCTAGAATTTACCTACTTTAAATTATCTGTTAGATTAAGGACCTGCCCGAAACGCTGCGCGTACTAGTGGCTTTACAAGATTGTAAATACTATACTATGTATACTCACAAACCCAATGTACCTTCTTGTATATAAATAAATAAATAAATAAATAAATAAATAGATAAATAAATAAAAACTAGCTATAATTTCATCTCATATTACCATCTCACAGGATGGTTATTAATACATGGAATCAGGGGAGAAAATACTTCTCAATACAAAAACAAATCAACTCTGACTAAAAAAGGAGAGAACATCAAATGCAAAACTGATCTCTTAGCCTCCGCTAGCAAAATCTGGGTAGAGCACAAGAATATTTTCCAATATTCCTGAGTGTATGAAGTAATTACAGAGCTCAAAGTACCTCATACCATTTGGTCTGAAGTCACTTATAACATACCATTTGGTCTGAAGTCACTTATAACAGGGCAATCACAGATATAGTGTTGGAGAGTATGTCCCAGCTCTTGTTCACATAGTTTACAATTGAAATGTTCAATATTGGGGGATTCATTACCTGCAGCCACCTGCCATAGATATCGATATCCCAGCCTAATTCTGGCAATTAAAATTTCACATTGTCTCGTGTATGTTTTATGCTGCCTGTACATATAATTCTCAGTTCTAAACATGTCAAAGCTCTTTATATTCATGCTTTCTGGCCTTTGTGCGTCAGTGACTGATCTTCTGTCTTCCCTAATTTCCTGAAATATTGCGGCTTTTACGGCAGTTAGTTTAGTTAATTTATTATGCACCCCATACCCATCTTGTGGGCGGTAGTGGAAAGGGTTACAGAGGCACATAATGGGCTCAGGGACTGAACCTCACAATTCTTTTAGCTAAGCAAGTTACAATCTTGATGAGCTAGTTACAAAATTCAATATACGTCGTCATATCATCAATGGGTTCGAGATCGACCAAAAGTACAGTTTCTAAATTAAGCAACTGACATATGTGGAGAGCTAGTGTCATAATTGATATGTTTGTCCTGCACACCGCCCCCCCATCAGTGGGCAGCGGTGGTTAGGTTACAATCACAATACCCACAATCACCAGGCCCACCCGAATCACTCAAACATCCGCTACTACCTTGGATCACTTATGGACTAACATAACAGCTCCCTTGCATCCAGTATAATCATTGACAGAACAACTGACCACTATCCTACCTTCCTCGTAGTGGACATGGCCATAACACCACCAGCTAACCAGAAACTTACCTTTAGGTTACACAGTGAAGCAACATCTCACAAATGCCCTCCACAATATAAACTGGGAATCTGAATTTAATAACACTCAGGATATAAATTCATTAACTAACCTCTTTCTTTCCAAAATTCTAATCCTTTACAATACTCATTGTCCTCTCCTCACCAAGCAAGTAACTGACAAAAGGTTAAACAATTCCTGGCTCATAAATGGCATCTCAAAGCAATCGACAAGAATCATGAATATGATTTTTTTAGGAGTGGCCTAGTTGCAAAGGAAGTAGTTAAGAGGTGCTCGTCAGTGTTTACCAGTATAATAAGAAAGCAAAACTTTCCTATTATGAGAGTAGATTCAAGTAAGCAAAAGGCAACATGAAAAGCACATGGAGAGCCATTTCTAACATCCTAGGATCTAAAGAACATTCACGTAACCTGATAAAAAATCTCCAATGATGTTTGTACACCTGCAAACAGATCTAGAAACGGCAACTGAATTTAATAGCTTCTTTTCATCGGTTGGTGCTAACCTTGCCAGAAAAATACCACAGACTCAGATACATGTTACCACATATCTCTCAGGCAGCTACCCAAACTCTCTTCTCCTTGCACCAGTCAGCCCGACAGATGTTGTGTCTATCATTCACTCACTAAAAACCAAAGCTGGGAACATTAGTGAAATACCATCCATTGTATACAAGAGCCCTTGTATATCCCATGCCCTTACGCCACCCATAGCTTTGCTGTTCAACAAATCTCTAGTGTCATACCTTCCTTGATATCCTTAAAAAATAAGAGTAACGCCAGTTCATAAAGGAGGCAATCCGGCAGACATAATTAATTACAGACTAATATCAAATCTACCTGTATTATATTAAATATTTGAAAAAATTCTTTACAAACAGCTCTACTCCTATCTCGTAAAATTCAACATACTAAGTCCCTGTCAGTTTGCCTTCCGCTCCCAAAAGAGTACCAAAGATGCATTTATTAGTCTGCTTGATATAATCTACTCAGCTCTTGACGAAAATGAGTTTCCGATTGGACTTCATTGACCTGAGAAAGGCCTTTGATACTGTTAACCATAACTACCTCTTACTTAAACTCCGCCATTATGGAATCCGAGGCCTTGTCCTGAACTATATCCAATCCTATCTTAGTGACAGACACCAGTATGTAGCCATCTTTCATATCATCAGCCAGATAGAACCTCTCCCACTCTACCACTCAACTGTAGGGGTGCCACAGGGCAGCATTCTAGGACCTCTCCTATTTCTTCTATTTATTTATTTATTTATTTATTTATTTATTTATTTATTTATTTATTTATTTATTTATTTATTTATTTATTTATATACAAGAAGGTACATTGGGTTTGTGAGAATACATAGCATAGTATTTACAATCTTGTAAAGCCACTAGTACGCGCAGCGTTTCGGGCAAGTCCTTAATCTAACAGATAATTTTAAGTAGGTAAATTCTAGCAGAATTAATAAAATGATAACATGCAAGAAAAAAATGAGATGAGAGAGATTAGTAAGTATATTAAAGCACGTTGGTATAGTAAAGCTCTGATTGATTACATTGACAGCTTGATTGGTAATTTAAACAAGATTAATAGACACCATACCGCAGACATCAATGATCTGCCTAATGTCTCTAACATTCTTACATCTATATTATTTGCTGACGATACTACCCTCATCTACTCAGACCCAAACCCATACACACTAAATAATGTTGTAAGCAATGAACTAAAAAAAAGTTTACTTATGGATGTCAACCAACAAACTCACACTAAACATAAAAAAGACCTACTACATCTTATTTGGAAGCTAATCAACAAATGCAACTCAGCTTCAGATAGACAATGTTAACATCAGCAATAAAAATGATGGAAAGTTCCTTGGCCTATTCGTAGACAAAAGACTCAGCTTCATCACCCACATATAAGACATAACCAAGAAAGTCTAAAAAACG